CTGGCCATATATAATGACAATAATGTAATTTCAAACACAAATGCAGTCTCCTTTCATGCATACATTTTCAAATAAAGCTCTGCTTTGAGAAAGATCGAATGATATTGTTTAATCTTTATCTTACCTTATGGCCTGCACACTGCTTGCGAAGCTGTCGAGGGCACGTTTGATAAAGACAGCATCGATGTCCTTATTCTGTAGCTTCTGGTACGGTGGGCTGGTCAAATGAACCCAATGAACCCGTCCGGATGGCTTCAAAACATTCTATGAGGTCGTCTCGATTCTCGTAGACAGTGTTCACGACTCTGCTGTTGCTAACCTCATCGTTGTGGCGGCGGACAGCTAGCCTGTATCCCTCATCCAGTTGAGTGGCAATATTCACTCTCACCAAAGCAGACAATCTCAAACAGCTATCAATGTGGGTCTTTGACAGCTCATTTTTCTTAATCTTTTCTGAAAGATGGTGCATGTCGGTTACACCAGTCGCTGTCCAAGCGTTGCTGTCTGCCGTTCATGGTTACGTTACGTTACGTATGACGAAAGCGCGTAAGTGCAAGCCCTCAGACACCCATAGAGAATGTATTGAAAGCTCAGAAATTTGAAAAAAAAATATTTTACATTAGAGGCTATGAGAGACTTCTGGGCGATTTTCAACCTGACTGAAATCGCCCCAAAACGGGCGGGGACATTTGAAGCACGACTTTAGCCTGATTGGACATTTAGTGGCTGGCAGATCAGACGTGAACACTGAACTACTGTTGCCATGATATAATTGATTAGAAAAAAAATCCCTTCCTTTTCCCGTTTGGCAGTGCGTCGCCCATATCGCCCATGAACACACCGCCCATGACTGAGCGTAAAAGGTGATCATTTGAAACAGGTCCTATATGCTAGATTTAGTTATTTGGCAACTTTAGTTGGGAATGATACCGACCTTAGAATGTCTTAGAAATCAACATACTGTATATGGGCTGCATGGTGGGACTATAGGCTATTGATGATTTGAGAAAGTAACAAAAAAAGCTTTCCTCGGCCTGCACAGCTGTTCTCTCAAGTGATCATATTTTCACCCATCAGACTATTCTCAATTACATTTTGTATTTACTAATATGTAAAATTTGTTTAGATTTAGAATGGCCCATAATCAAATGGGCAGGAACAGGGGCAGGGGAAAAAAATACATGCCATCTGTATGCAAGCGAATAGCAAATGAAGGCTGCGCGCTTTCCCGCCTGTCCGTTTTGTAGGCTACTTCGGTTTTATAGCTGAGCATGTGCTTAATATGAGCAGATGAAAAATAAATACACTTATTTCACTCCACGCATCAACCACTGTTTGAGGAGCATGCTCTCGCTGCCCTACAGGTGATATGCCGCCCAAACTCTGTATGCCATGTGATCTACAACCCTGTTCCTGCAGCTACCCAGTGCTTCATTTGGGAAACCAAATGACATCTGTTCGGGAACATCGATAGTAACATGTTTTCGCAACAAAACATATTTCACTAAACTGTTGACAGCCCGTCTGCACGCTCGAGAAAGGAATAAAGGAGAGCGAGGAGGAGATGGAAACGCACGGTGGTGACATTATGTATAGCTAAAGGTAATGTGTCATCAAATTAATTAAAAATCCCTATTACTAGGCTCTTCAAAATCAAATACAATTCACAAATTGTAGGCTAACTGTAAGACTCCCTGCGCAATCAATGAACCAACAGCATCACCTAGGGCTATACGTTCTCTGGATATACTTTTTGGAGCGTAGCATGAGGTAACCAGTCGATCCTGTATCCATAATAAAGGCAATTACTCATTTTGTTTTAATTTTGCAGTATAGGCTAGACCAGTTATGTACCAAAGACATCTTAAATCAGTTTTGTTTGATGTTTTTCTGACATGTGTAATATGAGGTAGGCTATGTATTGTATAACGGCAGAATCATCATTTTTATTCAGGTTATTTTTTCGAGCTTGGGCTCATAAGCCTATGCAGAAGCACTAATATGCTTATGGGTGTTTTTAATTGATCATCACCTTAGAAAGCACTGTCCGTTTCGTTGTGTTACATCCACAACAACCATGTTTTACACTGTTTCAACCTGCTGTTGAACTTTTCTTCAAATTGATGATCACAGTGAGGTGAGTTTTAAAAGTATGATAGGTCTACTGTTTTGATAAGTGTTTGATGTGATTTTCGAATGCATTTGCATTGATGTCAGAGTGGTTAGAGGGACAGTAGAGCCCTGAGTACATTTACATTTACATCATTTAGCAGACGCTCTTATCCAGAGCGACTTACACCAGGCCATTAGGACCTGATGGTAGTTAGCAAGTTGGGTACTACCAAAGCATGTCCAGAGTGCATAAAAGGAGATTATGTGACTCAAAGGTCACGTGGAATTTGACTGCAGTCATGAGTCAGGTCTGTCTGTGTGGTGATAATATGGTCACCTGCAACAGCCCTAACCAGATTCACTGGGAATACATTACAAAGGATGAAGAAGCTGCAGCCCCACGCTACTTGTCAGACATACATTATACTGAACTGATTCTGTGTACTGGTTGTTGGGGTGGGATTGGCATGGGGTGTGGGGCGTCCATGGGTGAATGGCTTTTGATACATTTTATTGGATTCCTCAGGTCTTACTCATTGTTAGGAAGAATGATGGTCGAAATCGGATGTTCAGTACTATATTTACAGAATTTAATTTGAATCCTGTGGAATTAATTAGATTAATTTCTCAGAGATCAAATTATATTTCAACAAAATGTTTCAGGAATGCTAATCTTATCTGTTTCTAACTACAGAAACGATTTCAGCACAATCTGAGATGGTGGGTGTCAGATCCTCCTACCCTTTTTGCCAACCTGTTCCACTTGTTTGACAGTGTCAATAGCCTAAGATCACCATGCGCAATGCCAAGTTGGAGTGGTGTGAAGCTCGCCGCCATTAGACTCTGGAGCAGTGGAAATGCGTTCTCTGGAGTGATGAAACACTCTTCACCATCTGGCAGTCCGACGGACGAACCTGGGTTTTGCGTATGCCAGGAGAACGCTACCTGCCCCAATGCATAGTGCCAACTGTAAAGTTTGGTGGGAGGAGGAATAATGGTCTGCGGCTGTTTTTCATGGTTCGAGCTAGGCCCCTTAGTTCCAGTGAAGGAAAATCTTACTACAGCATACAATGACATTATAGACGATTCTTTGCTTCCAACTTTGCGGCAACTGTTTGGGTACGGCCCTTTCCTGTTTCAGCATGACAATGCCCCCGTACCCAAAGTTAGGTCCATACAGAAATGGTTTGTCGAGATTGGTGTTGAAGAACTTGACTTGCCTGCACAGAGCCCTGACCTCAACCCCATCGAACACCTTTGTGATGAATTGGAACGCCGACTGCGAGCCAGGCCTAATCGCCCAACATCAGTGCCCGACCTCTTGTGGCTGAATGGAAGCAAGTCCCCACAGCAATGTTCCAACATCTAGTGGAAAGCCTTCCCAGAAGAGTGGAGGCTGTTATAGCAGCAAAGTGGGGACCTACTCCATATTAATGCCCATGATTTTGGAATGAGATGTTCGACAAGCAGGTGTCCACATACTTTTGTTCATGAACTCCCGAGTGGCGCAGTGGTCTAAGGCACTGCATCGCAGTGCTAGCTGTGCCACTAGAGATCCTGGTTCGAATCCAGGCTCTGTTGTAGCCGGCCGTGACCGGGAGACCCATGGGGCGGCGCACAATTGGCCCAGCGTCGTCCAGGGTAGGGGAGGGAATGGCCGGCAGGGGATGTAGCTCAGTTGGTAGAGCATGGCGTTTGCAACGCCAGGGTTGTGGGTTCGATAAAATAATGTATGCGCTAACTGTAAGTCGCTCTGGATAAGAGCGTCTGCTAAATGACTAAAATGTAATGAAGTGTATGTAAACTGGCAGTTTGGGCTTAATGGTTACCTGGATTGTTGACACTTGACAAAGCTATGGAGTGTGCACTGAACCTCAGGTACATTTGTTTGAGTGTCGGTACAAAGCCTCGGCGATGTGCTGTCTCATGGATATTTGTGTTAGCCAAATTTATTATGGCTGGTGTGTGTTTGCCTGCACTTAAATGTGTGTGTGTGTTCAGCATTTGGTATGTATGACCCTTATCCTCCCTCAGACTCAGCATGGTGGATGAGACAGCTCACATGCCCACAGGACTGGTTTTTATAATTAGACAAATGTTTATTTGAAAACTTTTTGGACTTGAGTGTGTGTGGAAGGTAGGTTCATGGAGTTGGAAGAAAGAAAGGGTGTGTGTGTGCGTGCACATTTGTCTGCTTCTTTTTTGTACACACTCAGTCAGTGAGATGGTTCCTCAGAGAGCCAGTTAGTAATTTCTTCTCAGATCCCTTCAATGAGTCAAATAGTTTTAATTTCTCCCTAAAGCTGTTTGGATGAACAATGGCTCCGTTTTATTCATTTATAATAAGACTCATGAGGAAAGGAAACGAGGGGGAAAGGAATCTCCTTTTGATGTGTCCAACCTGTCTGTGATTATTCCAAATGGCACACTATTCCATATGTAGTGCACTACTGCTGTTTGATCCCCTTGTACATTTCTAGGATTTATTGTATAGGAGCAGAGAGAGTGAGACTCTGGTGCTTCATGTCAATGTCGTTTTAGGGATTGTCTACAAAAGCAATGGAGATCTAGGCTTAGTAATTGGCTGTAGAGTGAGGAGATATACATTTTAGGTTATGCTGTTCTGACTACACCATATGCAAATCCAGTACATATTGTTTCCACCCACCCAGTCTTTCCAAGGTACACCGGCCTTCACATAGCATAAGGATTCCTCATAACGAGGTGACCGGGGTTGATTTCATATGCACTCCATCCATCCCGGCAGCCAGCACGTGGAACAGCTCACACAACAGCCTAGCTATCATCAGCACACAATGAGCACCTTCTGCTTTCTTTCCCTCCGCCCATTTGTCCTGGAAAAAAAGCGAGGAGATTCAATTTGGAAAATGGTGAACTCTCCTCCGAGCTGGGCTGGAGAGTGTGAGTGTGTGTTCCGTGAGCAGCAGCCTTCCTCCAGCCCACTCTCTGGGTCTCTCCACTCTGAACTAGGCCTGGCCTGGTGCTCAGCCCAGATAGCTCCACTGAGGGATGCTCCAGGGTAAGAGCCAAGTTGGATTTTCAAGAGCAAAGACTCATACACACAGGCTCACATACTTTAGACACACTCTCTGAATCGGAGAAAGAGAGGCACACACACCCAGCCTGCATGTCCCAGTGGATGTGCGTTTCCCACCAGTTCCTCCACCATCTGGAACCCCTCTCCATCCAGTTCTGGATCTCTTGTCAGGGAGAGCTGTAGAGCGAAATGAAAACATCAAAACAGCGATAGATCAAATGAATGCAACCTAATATTTCTACTCTCCAAACCAACACAAACTAACCCTCCTCACCACAAACACTCACTAAAATGGTCCTGACGAACAACGATGGATGTAACGCAGAAGCAAACTCTAGCTTGAAACGTCTCTTAATGTGGCACAAACACACCAGTATGACACGTGGTGTTTTAAAGGGAGTTGGTCGATGTGGTGCATTACTGGAACAGAGTGTTTTGAGGGGTCTAGGGCATGACATGCTGTATCAATGTCTGCTTCTTCCCTGACAGTCTGTCTCTCTCTCTGTGTGTGTGTGTCCGTCTTCCAGGACTGCAGTCCCAAGCTGACAGCCCGTTGCGCAGACATCCTGGAGATCCGCCGCTGCAACCGCCTGGAGATGCCCGACAACATGAACACGTTTGTTTTAAAGGTGAGGAGGAGAGACTCCCCTGCTAGTGATGCTGATCCATCTTCCTGCCTTGTGTCGTGTCCCTTCTCCACATGGTCCATGCACACATTCAGCCAAGGAGTCTGCTTTTTCTGTCCAAAAGCACTCATGCATTTTTAGTGCCCATTGAGCAGTGAGCTTCCACATGAAACATCACTCAAAAATGTACACACACAAGCACCCTCTGCCAAACTTGTCTTTTTCTTCCCATTCCTGTTCTTGAGGGTGTGTTTGTCACATATTTCTGTGCGTGTGTCTCCTCTAGGTTAATCACTATCCAGGTAGTCTCGTATTTGAGACGGAAGATAACCAGCAAGTCAGCTCCTGGACCACCGAAATTAAAGAATGTATCAACAACAGGTGAGGGACTGTAACGCTACCAGGACACTATTTAACCTGCTACTCTCCCTCCCCATCTGTCTTTTCATCGTCTAGCTTTATTCCACGTGTTCTGTGGTGTGTGTGTGCGCTCGCGTGTTTCTGTGTGTGTGTGTGTGAATGGATGCATGTCAGCTTGTTTCTGTGTGTGGGTAGCTATGTGTCAGGCACAGTGCTGTGAAAGAGGAAGCGTGGGGGAGGTCTGAGTCCCAGTGGGGGAATCTTAGGACCTTTCTCATTTCTGCAGATGTCTGGAATTCTCTGTCTCGCTTACCCTCCTCAGACTCTGGTTTTCAGGCCAGCACTGCTTCAGCTCTGCAGCCCCTATGACCCAAGGCCTGCAACACACACACGCACACACCACACACCACACATACACACAGTTCAAATGTAAGTCAAAATGATCCTCTTCTTGCTAACGGTTGGTCCCTCTTTCGTTGGGGCGCCAAACGTTAAACTTCTATCTGAGAAGGCAGTGCTGTATTTGCTAGACTATAACAAGCTAGCTAGCTAGCTGTCGGAATTGCTGACAAATGCTAATGACTGTGTCAGAGGTACAATACTTATTTCAGTCTCATGCATTTCTCTCATGCAGTACTGACACATAGTATGATACCACTTTTGTCATCAAAATGGACACCCTATAAAATGGCTGAAGTGTGCAGGGAATGGTGAGCTATTGACACTGATACTGCTGTCATTTCCTATTTTGGATGATAGGATCGTGCTCTCTTCCATGGCATGGCCGCGCTTTCAACATGTATGTTATCATGCTGTTCGAAATCAGGCAGTTAGTCACAGTACACAAGATTGTACTCAAGATTGTATGAGTGTGCACATTCATGAGTTTGCGCATGTGTGCATCTATTTTTAGTATGTGTGTGTGTGTGTGTGTGTGTGTCTTAGAGAAATATATAGAGGCTTTGTATTTCTCCTTCTGGGTGGAGGACCTGTGAATATGTATGAGGAGGAAAAACTCCATCTCTCTCTCGCTCTCTCACTCTCTCTTTCACAGACAGACAGTGTGTGGTGTGTGTGTGATATTGGGGGTGGAGTGGAGGTATCATGTACAATAACATTTAGCGTTTTCAAGATTTACTGTAACGAGACATGCTTCCTGACCGAGCCCCGACGCTTTTGTGTGCCTCCATCCTGCTGCTTCCTGTAGACTCAATGGCCCCAATCCCTCTCTCCTGCTTCCTCTTTATTTTTTCTTTCTTTCTCTCTTTCTCTCTCTTTCTTTCTCTTTCTCTCTTTCTTTCTCACCTAGGGTGCATATGACTATGTGTAGAAGTGCGGGAGAGAATGGGTTTGCGGCGGCATAGGGTATATGTTGTGTGTGAATGAAGGAGAATGGATGAGTAAGTAGATGTACAGAGGGGTGTAAATGTGTCTGAGAAGACGGGAGGGGGGGAAAGACGGGACGTTGGGATAAACTTAGCCTGGGTGGGTAAGAGAGGGCAAGGATGGGAGGTGGTGATAAGCTTGGCTTGGGTGGGGTAAAGGGGGTGTGGTGGAGAGGGTTGGATTTGGTTTGGGAGAGCGAGAGAGAGAGAAGGAAGGACTTTTATTATACTACAATGTAATTATTTCTTTTTTTGTGACTTGTAAACACACTGTAAAATGAGTAAGAGTTCTTGACAGATTAGGAAGGGATGTTGAATCCTTATTATTAATATATATAACTAAGATTCAATGGTGGGTATTGAGGAGAATGGGGAGGGGCTTTATCCGGGGGATTGGGATTGGGATGGGGTGACTGGGTGGGTATCTGACACTTCTCTAAAGTGTTCGTGGGGCCTCCACTCATCCCATTTCAGTCTCTCTGTGGACCCACTCTCCCCAAGCAGATCCCTACCAGCCACTGTACTTTCATTTAATTTCTAAGGTAATACAAACTGACCACATTACTTAAGTGGCAGTCTTTCTCCAATGTATGTACAATGATATAATCCCACATTTTATTTGTTTGGTACATTAGGAGAGGAGTTGGAGCTTAAAATCCCTTAAGGTTTTTAAGCTTTGTGTTTTTTTTTGTTAAATGTCTGCTCAGCCCACTTACTCTATATATGTAATGTATACAATAACTATGTATCTATACTATAGAAAGGTAAACTTTGATTCTATACAAGTAAAGACCAACAAAATCCAACTTCACATGGAATGTGCACGGGCTCCATGATGGAGGGGGGGGGGGGGGCATATGGTTCTCGAACACTTAGAGATTGTCAGCAGATGTCGTTTTCTTGCAAGAGTTACATTTTAAAAAATTAGAAATTGAATATTTAAAGAGGAGCTGGGTTGAAGAGGCCTATGCTGCCACCTACTGTAGTAACAGCAGAGGTGTAGGCATCCTGATAAATAAGAATACATGGGAATGGTATAAAGTCCCAAAGTTATGGGCGGAGCTAGAAAGTTGGCTGTCAGAAGTATTACTGAACCAAAATATAAACGCAACATTCAACAATTTCATTGATTTTACTGAGTTGCAGTTCATATGAGGAAATCAGTCAATTTAAATAAATTCATTAGCCCTAATCTATGGATTTCACATGACTGGGAATACAGATATGCATCTGTTGGTCACAGATACCTTTAAAAACATGGGCCTCACAATGGGCCTCAGGATCTCATCACTGTATTTTTGTACATTCAAATTGCCATCAATAAAATGCAATTGTGTTCATCCCGTGTAGCTCAGTTGGTATCTAAAACGACGGAGGCGGCTTATGGTAGATAAATTAACATGACATTCTCAGGCAACAGCTCTGGTGGACATTCCTGCAGTCAGCATGCCAATTGCATACCTTGAAACTTGAGACATCTGTGGCATGTGTGACAAAACTGCACATTTTAGAGTGGCCTTTTACTGTCCCCAGCACAAGGTGTAATGATCATGCTGTTTAATCAGCTTATTGATATACCACACCTGTCAGGTAGATGGATTATCTTGGCAAAGGAGAATTGCTCACTAACACGGATGTAAACACAATTGTGCACAAAATTTGAGAGAAATAAGCTTTTCATTAGTATGAAACATTTCTGGGATCTTTTATTTCAGCTCATGACACATGGGACCAACGTTTTACATATTGCATTTATATGTTTGTTCAGTATACAGTGAAAAACGTATACCACCCAATGGGCTAGACGATCACTCATCTTGAAAAAACATATACTAAAAACTTGGAAATCAACAGTCCGCCATCATTAACACAATGGAAAAATCTAATGATTTATTCAGAAAATATTGAAATAGCATGGGCGACCGAGAAAAATAAATTGGTACAGTTTAAGGCCATGTGGCAAACAATAATGAAAGCACTAGGGATGGGGGTGCGAGCATGCGGGTCAGGGCAGAGGAGATGTAGTCTTTGTTTGTGTGCATCTGTAAATTGCTGTTTGTATTTGTATGTTTGTATTTGGTGTGAGAAAAAAAAAGAATTAACAATGCAGCATCGTTTAAAGCAGTCAGAGGTACTTATTTCAGCCTCATGCAGTTGATGGCAGCGTCATGTTGAGGAGGATGGGCTAACGTTTTAGCCCAGTCTGGATTGGCTGCTGCTAACTGAAGGCATTGTTTATTACACAGGTCTGGCAGCGTGGATTTGGAGCTCCTAACCTACCCTGTGGACAATGCTGCGGTGGCCAACCGGAGAGGGAGCTCCGAGTCAGGGAGTCAGGGTGGGTGTCAGGGATAGGAAGGGGCGGACCCCAACCTGGAAGTGTGTAACAATTAATATCTCAGGATTCAATTGTATCTTGATGTTTGAAATTATGCTGTAGTGGTTGACCCAGTCGCTTAGACTTAGAGCGTGGTGCTTGTATCGGTTTGAGGAGTTGTGGGTTTGATTCCTGCATGGGCGGCATGTATATCTTCCGAACATACTGGCAGGGCGACAGGTAGCCTAGGGGTTGGGCCAGTAACCGAAAGGTTGGTGGTTCGAATACCCGAGTCGACAAGGTATTAGGTATTCTGTCGATTTGCCCTTGAGCAAGGCACTCAACCCACATTTGCTCCAGGGGCACCATACTACTACCAACAACACATTTCACTGCAACTATCCGGTGTGTGTACCCCCCCAAAAGTTGAGCTATTTGTGGATCAAAGTGTCTGCTAAATGACCATGTTATTACATTACATTCTGTCGTCGTCCCCCCACTAGGATCTGCGACCTTTGCCCTCTCGGAGCAGGTGTACCATAAGACTGACCACTTCCTGTGTTCATACCCCTGGTTCCACGGGCACATCTCGCGGGTCAAAGCGGCCCACCTGGTCCAGAGCTCGGGCCTGGAGGGCCACGGAGTCTTCCTGGTGAGACAGAGTGAGACTCGCCGCGGAGACTACGTCCTCACCTTCAACTACCAGAGCAAGGCCAAGGTTCTAGAAGAATACCAATCTTAGTGTTTGATATCATATTCGCTATGAAGATGTCTGAATAAAAGCGTCATTGTTGTTTATGTCCATGTAGTGATCTGAAATAAGAGTTTCTCTCTCTCTCTCTGCAGCACCTGCGTCTGTCTCTAACAGAGTGGGGCCAGTGTAGGGTGCAGCACCTGCGTTTCCCCTCCGTCATGGACATGCTCAGTCACTTTCGCCTCTACCCCATACCCCTGGAGTGTGGCGCCGCCTGCGACGTCACCCTGTCCAGCTTCGTGGTGGCCAACTCCCAAGGTGAGCCCTCGTCACTGACCCCTGACCTCCACTGGACACAAACACACACGCACCCACCAATACTTTTGAACTTAGGGCTACTGCTAACACAACTTTACATAAATATATTTAAAAACATTTCACACAATAAAAATACTATTTTATTATAGATTAGCCATATACAGCTACTTGGATATACAGTATATGGGAATCTGCACAAACAGGATGTTACAAGTCAAACCCTTTATGTCAGCATAAATATTGTTATGTCATTGTGTCCTCTCCCTCAGGTCATATTTCAGTGGCTGTTCTGGTTCCCTTCTCCCCGCACTGCTGGAGCTCCGAGCCCAGCCTGGCCCGCTCCAACCCAGCCACCTGCCCCAGCCTGCTCCCCTCAGCAGGCCCCTCTCTGGGCCCCCTGCCCCAGCCCGGACACCCTCATTTACACACCACACCCCTCCCAGACCTCCCCACCTCGGGTTCCCTGCGTCAGAGCGAGTCAGTGGGCCGCAGACCCCTACTGCGTCACCCCAACCCCCACCCACCCTTTACTCAGCGGGACTCCGACTATGAACTGGAGCCAGACAGGGGCCGCAAGCGGGCCATCGACAACCAGTACATGTTCCTCTGACCGGCCGACTCCCTTTCACAGCCAGCCCAGAGGTCACTCCAAGCGAGCGCCGGATGGACTCATGAGTGAACGTGTATGCCCGAGTTGAGGTCTGTCTCGTGGGGTGGGTGACAGAGTTCGGACCCGAGTGTCCATTATGAATGTATTTTTGGGAAACTGTTTAATATTGTTATGATTATTCTCATTTTATGAAGCGGATGTAGTCGTTATAAGGGATGTTGCTATATGGGAGTGAGTGGCGCTGGTGTGGAAGGTCTTCCCTAAGGCAGGGGAGGGGGGCACCCTCACTGCCTCTCCCTCCCTCTTCAATAGGGGTCTGTTTAAGGGCCTTGAAGCGTTAGACAACACTCCCTCCCCTCCCCTATTCTAATGTTGTAGATACCCAGTGTATTTCTGTATTTGAAATGCACACATTCTGTACACAGTGTACTTTTTAAAACGTTGTGTATTTTAATTCGCAGACTATTTTTGTAGGAATATCAAAGGTGTTGAAAAAGAAACCCCAAAAACTGAGGAGCCTTCCACGTAGGTTTGGTTTAGTCTCACTGTTGGGGTTAAACCTCCCGAGACGGGGCTGAACAAGGGAGTTAACCCCGTAAAGAAAGGGGTTGGGAGGGGACACACCCTAGTCTAGAGTCCCTGTTCCCCTCCACAGCCTCGACGCTCAGGCCCGTGCACACTCAGGTTGTACAACTCAAGTACAACACATTTCACAGAATGTTCGTGATAGTTTGTCTGTGTGCAAAACTCTGTTCTATCGCAAGCATTGTACCGGTATTGTACATCATTGTACAACTTGAATGTGTATGAGGCAAAATATTAGCAGTTTCGTTTCCTATTAGCATTAACTTCTTTCATCTTAACATTGTTCTCTACGACTCAAGGACAAAGCTGGATCTTCCTGGTCCATTCTGAAGGCATTTGTTTTTTGCTAGTTAAATGTTTCCAAATGCTACATTTGAATGTGTCTTCTATGGCTTCTTATTCATTGACCTCTTGAAAGAGACAAACGTCACCAAAGAAAACGTGAGGAGAAGACTGCACTCCCATGCTATTACTAAGAACCCTTGTGTGCATGGCCCCTTAACACCACATTTTATGTAAGCAACCTTTCTGGTGTACAATTTTGTTTATTAATTAAACATGTTGTGAAAATGATTCTTTAACATACCAGTACCCGTCACTTTTCTGTACGTACATCTTCTTCCCCTTGCCTAACACTAACTTAGCAGTGAAACCTTAGTCATCATCGAGTCGTACAGCTTACCCTCTAGAAGTCCTGCAGTATTTATAATTATGTTTATTTCTTATCATAGAAGGGCTTCCTGTTTTTACGAAATGCACAAAGGCAGGTTGATTTCCTTTTAAATGATCAGGAAATCCACTTGCTATGAAAGGAGATTTGTCTTTTCATTGCATAACCCAGCTAAAAATCTATCAAGGAATTTTACAATGGTTTTTAATCAGGTATCTTCCAATATTGAAACTGACTTTGTCAAATGTTTAGGTTGGAAAAAAGGTTAGACAATTGCAGCCAAGTATGGTTGGTCTCCTGTGCTTAAATTGAAACTAATCCCGAACCCCAATCCCACATCTGTTCTGCAAATGCAAAAAGGAAAGCAACGGTATCATTGACTTATCAGTCCCCCTCTGACCTGTAGCCAGAAAGACTGTGCCTTGCCTGAAAGCTGCTGTTGCTTTATCCCTTTGAACCTCAGGGCGTGATGTGTTAGAACTTAGTGCAATAACTGAGATATTTCCAATGCTTTAGCCTATGGCACATTGAACGCTTTATATTATAGCTTAACCTGTACATTGTCTTTGCACTCAATCATATTGGGAAAACACACATAACACCAAGAGTTCTGGCAAGCTTAGAGAGTGCATTCCATTACTGCAGACTGGTGTTGCTCACTCTTCACCTCCTGTCTGCACATATCAGGTTAGTTTTATACTCCAAATGGCCCCAATGTACCTCAGGTCTATGTATTACAACATTTGCTTACATGCATTTATTTTGCCCTGTCAGTCAAGCCTTCTGACATTGTTCAAGTTCAACTGATTAATGTATATGTCTTCTCAATACTGTTGATTCTCTTATGTATTAGCACTGTAAACATTCCATTCTCCAAGCTAATTAAACCAAAGATTTCTATCTGTCCATCTTTGATTAATTGTTACATTTCCCTCAGTTATATGCATTCTAAATAATCTCAACTGTATATTTGACTTTTGTAAAATAAAGCTAACCAAAAGGTACCTGCAACACATCATTTTTTGGTGACTATGAAAAAGCTCCACACTTCCCTCATGGTTTCATGTTTATCTGCAAATATGACTTTGACAAGTCTAAATGTGTGCTCTGAAATTATTAGATATAGGTATAAACAGCATGGTATGGCTCCTGCACATAGCCCTATAATGCTTTCACCCATCTAGTCCTTTCAGATCTGTGAACAGAGGGGGCTAGGGGTTTTAATAGAAATGGGGTGAACCAAGAACAACCTAAGGGACATGTGTGAAACATGAGCCTCGTTTATACCTGATGCTAACATGCATCCTGATCTCATCCACATTCTGCCGACATTTTAAGAACGGTATAGACTCATTGTGATCGGATCGTCCTGACCACCTCCAGAGGTACTCAGGGATAAATTGATTTGTTGAATAAAAGCACAGTGGGCAGAGCTTAGTGACAGGTCAGGGGGTGGAGTTTACAGGTGAGCGTCAAATCAAGGCCTTTAGGGTGGTAGGTTGGAGGGCGTTAAACGCAGGGTTTGCCACCCAATGCAGCTTTTGTTTTCCATCATACTTAACTAACCACTTTTCTAATCTGTTGACATTCGAAATGACTTACTGACTGAGCAGCCTCATCTATGCTGGTGCAGTGTGCTAGGGATCAGAAGGTCACAGGTTCTAATCTTGCAGATGATATCTGGATGGTCAAATCATTTACATTTTAAATCACTACACCACCCTCTAAAATCAACAGGATCGGGACCAGAAGGTCAAAGGTTCTTGCCGATGCCGTTATTGTGTGTGAACCTTGCTTGGCCATTTGCAACTGACTTTGGACCAATTTAACTACAATGCATATTTACTGCAAATTAAATTATTGTAATTCGGATCTGTCACGGTCACTGACAAACCTATACTTAATTTTTAGACAATCAATGAATGCCATTAAAAAATAAACACTTGATTATACAGAGAAAGCTAAATAAACACACAAAAAGACTGCCAATACAGCTATCCGGTTTTTTAAAAGTTTTTATTTTTTTTTCCCCTATTTATATTATCTACAAAGTAAAAGTTATTTTTCACTTAAAAGTTACATAATGGTCAGGTGAGAAGTGGGATCACTTTAGCCATCATAATTCATAATAATGTTTCCGTCCTTTAGACCAAACTGGTTATTAATTACAGGAAGATTTTAGTTTGGTTAGAACCTGTTCTGAAGTCTTGAATGCAGCAATAGCAGCAGCAGCATTTAAACAGTAACATTAATACTGTCTAAGTTGGAAGAATTTTCATATCAAGGTACAGATAAAATGAAGGTTCCAGTAATGTATTTCTCTTTCTCTCAATTCTTAATTGGCAAGCTGAATCAAGTTTCATTAGTGACCCTCTGCAGGTGTCTTAAAGGTGTGTGTGGGGGAAGAGCGAGGGATCCTTTCTGTTAATAATAGAACTCTCAATAAAACCTCTCCAATGCAACAACCTGTTGAACATTATGACTGGGAGAGGAAAGCACATGTTTAGTAGCATGACGAGAGAGCTGTGTGGCGGCTTCTCTCTGTGTCGAGACTCTTGTTCTCAGTAGCACCCTCTACAGCTGCTACTGATGGTGCTGTTGCACTGGAGGGACACAGAACGGAGGAAAATCAGTGAAATTGGCCATTCGGGGTTAGAATACATAGTTGCATTTATCATAGCACTTATTACAGTCGTTTCCGTTTTCTGCTAAATGTATCATTAACGATAAGGCTGGGGAAAACTGGATCAAACATTGAACTGATGAACAAACACGTTTGCCCCAAATTAATACGTGGAAGTGTGTTTAGTTGAACAAGCAGTAGAGAGACATCCGTCAGGTGATTGGAGGAGTCCTGCCCCTGAGACATATAGGGATGGGGTGACGTAGAGACGTACCTTGGGGGTGTGCCAAGTAAGAGAAGTGCGTAGTGGAGGACACCGGGATGGGGTTGAGGGCGTTCTGGGGGAGTTGGGGCTGGGGGCCCCCTGGCTGCTGGGTGGCCATCAGCATCATCTGAGGGTGGCCAGGGTGGGAGGGCACCATCCCAGACTGCATATGGGCCTAAGGGGGAGAGAGAGAGAGAGCGAGAACATTAGTAGAAAGAGATACATACAACTGTTACTGACTCCATAAAAGGGTTTTGTGTTTTTGTTCCTGGGACCACTAACCTGCTCATATGGTATGTACTCAGAGTGAAGGGAAGGGCTTCTGAAGGTGGAGCTCACCTGCTGCATGTGGGCCATGTGGGACGGGTTGTAGCCGTGCTGCATCTGCTGGGGGTGGAGGTAGACGGCCTGCTGAGCCGAGGGGAAGCTGCCCTGGGGGGACTGGGGGTTGGGCCCCGGGGTCATGGAGGGCGGGGTGGGGGCCAGGGCCTGGTACATCTGCTGCTGGGGCTGGTTGCCCATGTGCAGGGCCTGGGCAGCTGCGGCGGCAGCCTGGTGCTGTTGGTGCTGTTGGACGGGGCTGGGGGCCGGGTGGTTTCCCCCGTGCTGCCCACCCTGCTGGGTCTGGCCTGTGGGGGTGGCCGAGGGCTGAGAGTGGGGGTGCAGGGTGGTGTTGGGGTGCTGGTACTGCTGCGGCATGGGGCCTTGTGACACTGGAACCCCAAAACAAAGACTGAGTTATTGGCAACGGACCAGAAGAGACAGACAACGGAGACATCCATGACGAGTGTTTTACGAGTGTTTGCTTTACCACAACAAAGTTATCTAACGTAATATATATATATATATATATATATATATATGCTTTTTACATTGAATTAGAGTGGCTATGCAACGCTATTACAAATCTCTCTACTTCCGGTCCCAGAACCAAAATGAAGTAGCTGATTTGGTTCTAGGTGCCAACATTAGGTACACACAAACACAACCAGATAGTGGGACAATGGACAAAAGAGTGACACACACACAGAAGGGAGGGGGGGGGGGGTGTCTCTTACCATACATGGTGTGAGTCTGCTCGCCATACTGGGTGGCGGAGGAGGAGACCAGCTGGCCGTGGTTGGGAGGGGCCATCATCCTGGCCTGACCCTGCATCACCGGGCTGAACACATGCTGGGCCTGACGGGGGTGGGTGGGGGGGGGGGGACACACATTACTTGTGCATGTGTGTGGGTGTGTCCTATTCAAAGGCATACATGCCAATCTTTTGTGATACGTCTTTCCACGGTCCATAAAAGTGAGTCGAGTTGTTATTTTGGCAGATTGTTACCTGTGACTGGTAGTGGGGCATCTGCTGCATCAGTTGCTGGCTGGTAAACTGCTGTGGGCTGCAGGTGAAGTACTGGGCTGAGTAGGCGGGGCTTTGGGCCACAATGGGCGGCCCTGCGGCTTGGGCCGGGTGCATCATGGTGGGCGTGCCCTGGGGGTGGTGCTGGTCTGACCTCTGCTGGGGCATGTTGGCTACTGCAGCAGCCAGTGGCACACAACAACCATTCAGAACACAATGTCCAGAATTACAGGAAAGAGATATGTGCAGGGGGGGCACAGCCTTCTTAAATTCAATATTAGTCTACAGTACTGAATTCACCCTATGACATGCTTTCCAAAAGCACAGCAGCACTGTTAAATCAGAGCAGCTGGTTAGCTCCCCAGCAGACTAGACAGCACTATCAAGCACCGCTACGACCCCATGCAGACCAAGTGCTATGACAAAACATTTTACCTGCACACGTGGTCTTCTTCCCTTTTGAATATGTGTTTGCCAGAAAGCTTTGACTCCCTACGCATTTGTGTGTCTGACTAATACCAAAATGCAGGCTGATGCTGTACTGTGCTATTAATGAAGACGGGACGACAAGGGACAGACAGCGTTGCCAGTGAGCATTCTCACCTTTACCTGGTCTGTAGGGCTTGGACTGGCTCACCGTCATATGAGGCATCTGGACGTGGTACATGGCTGGAGACTGCAGGAGGAGATCAGAAGAAGAACAAGTTGAACTAACTGATATATATAAGCTTCCATTGATTCTCCCCCCCCACCCTTTCAACTTTGACTCCCTTCTCATCCACCCACACTCCTTGTTCACAGCATGCCTCGTGGACTTGGAGTGAGAAGAACGGTTGGCTGGTCTCTTATCTTAGGCCACGTGCCTTAGGACAGTGCAGCTGTCCATCAATAGACTGGATGACTATTGAACCATGCAGTTTTTATTCTACATCTATCTGCAAACATGTAGGCTTATCAAATAAATACGTGAGAATTGCTTTGCACTGCTTCAGTGTTTGTAAACTGTGAGCAAGAATGACATAATACTAGTCATATTATACTAGGTCTGGGAGAAAGAGTAAATGTCACTTAAGTAAGTTAAGAAAGCTGTTAAAACAAGGATGAGGTTAAGGCCTGTTCTTGATGACAACAACTGTAGCCAATTGCAATAAGACATTGGCAAACCAACATCTGATGGGACATTTTCAAGCAAGCAAAACATCTCATACGGCTTTGGGAAAAAAGGTAAGGATCAAGTAGATAGCTTAAGAAATGCACAAACCTTCCAGATAATGCTTTTCTAATGGAGAGAGAGGAAAAGGAGAAGGAAAAAAAAAAAAAAAAAAAATTTAGTTGCTAGTTTGTTTCTTTAACCAGAAATGTTTCTCTGAACTCAAGTTTCCGATGTTGGATCACCAACCATTTATATAGCAACTTCAAGACAGAAATATATTTTATAACAATAAATCATTTTTGGAAACAGCAAAGTCCAGAGAACTGACCATCACATCTTTCACAACAGATTAACTTGTCTCACAAACTGCATTCACTCTGAGTTCTACAACTAGCCTATAACAAAACACTTATCTTCAAGGCTACACAGAAGTAAAAAAAAAAATTAAGACAGATAGGCCTATTCAGAGAAAACATTCATTCAAGCTCAACCCCACCTAAAGTCTCAGGAAATGTCACAAACCAATATAAACAAGCAGTAGGCTTCTCCACATGACTCCACACACAGTGACTTTATGGCTGTGGAATGGTGACCAGACAGGTCAAAGCGGGGAATGGTGAAACAGTGACCAGACAGGCCAAAGTGGGAGCAGAGGGCCTCTAATGTGCATGCCACAACTGCATATCCAAGGACAGCTGGGCCACACAAATAACCCACCATTCCTTCCTGTTGCATGATACATTCCTTCCTGTACCACAACAAGGAGAGAAATAGAGATAAAGATGCAGGGGTTGATGCAGGGGTGATGCAAGCTGAGAGAGGAGAGGTCAACAGTGAGAGATATGAGGGGAAAAGAGGCCAACTAAATATTTTTGAACAATCATACATCTTCCTTGCTGCTTAGCAAGTCTGCATGCCAATCATTAACCAATTATAATTCAAGGGGAAGTTTGAGCTTCCACCCGTATTCTTCTTCTGAACTGCCAGAGTTGCGGGGGCATGCAGGTGGGATGGAGAGTGTGTTCGTGCGTCTCACCTGAACTCCAGGGCTGACGGGGGTCAGAGGGTACATCTGGGGGAAGCAGACCGTCTGGCTGTAGACTTGTTGAGGCTGCTGCACCACGATGGAGGGGCTGGGCTGGCCCTGGGGCCGCGGGGGGGTCGGAGTGGTGGCCGGCTTGGGCTGCAGGCCACACGCGCACACACACACAGGCACAAAAACACACAGGCACACACACACACGACAGGGACCACAACAGGGAAACTCTATAAAAGTCACTACAGCTTCAAAAGGAATGTCTCAAGTGGCGATGTCAAAAAGCAGGAAGAGAATAGGTATGATGTTACTGGGGCAGTCAGACAACTAACCTGAGTATTGAACACCCTGGGTTTGAACTCATGGGCATTAGGATTGAGAGTCGACTTCATGATTTGACTGCGGAGCGGGGAAAAATAACACATTAACACATAGTTAACTCAAGACAAAATCAATGATTCCCTCAACGTGAGCAATCCCTTGAGTTCCAGGATGATACATTATCGCTGGTCAGTTGTCGTTTAAAGCCACACTCCGTTATTTGTGCTTATCCTCAAAGAGGCCCATTCGAAAACACCAACTCAAATAGAAACAATGGGAGTAGATGCGTGGCCATGGCACTTACTCTTGGACAGGCTCCTTATCTTCTCTGTCCTCAGGCTTGGCCCCGCCGCTGAGGGTGTGTGCAGACGTCTGGACACCCTGTGAGGTCACATCGGGCCCCCTCTTCTGCTCTGGGGCAGGACAGAGGGTAGAGGAGGAGGATGGTGCTCCAGGGCTACCTGGCTTGCTGCTCCCGGCGGGGGCCACGGCGCCCTCCTCAGACCCCTCCAAACCCTTGTCAAGAGGAAGCTCCTTGGGCTTCTCTCCCGCGGCATCTGGTGGAGGCTTGGTCATCATCTGCTCAAACTGTGGCTCTGGGTTAGAGCTGGACTGCAACTGAGCGAGAGAAAGAAAGCGAGACAGATAGTTTTTTATGGCTGTACTAACACTGTGACAAGGTAGGGGGGTATACAGAAGATAGCCCTATTTGGTAAAAGACCAAGTCCATATTATGGCAAGAACAGCTCAAATAAGCAAAGAGAAACGACAGTCCATCATTACTTTAAGACATGAAGGTCAATCAATACGGAACATTTCAAGAACTTTGAAAGTTTCTTCAAGTGCAGTCGCAAAAAACATAAAGCGCTATGATGAAATGGCTTTCATGAGGACCGCCACAGGAATAGAAGACCCAGAGTTACCTCTGCTTTAGAGGTTAAGTTCATTAGAGTTACCAGCCTCAGAAATTGCAGCCCAAATTTACATTTACATTTTAGTCATTTAGCAGACGCTCTTATCCAGAGCGACTTACAGTTAAGTGAGTGCGTACATTTTTGCTTAAGAGTTAAAGTAACAGACACATCACAACATCAACTGATCAGAGGAGACTGCGTGAATCAGGCCTTCATAGTCGAATTGCTGCAAAGAAACCACTACTAAAGGACACCAATAAGAAGAAGAAACTTGTTGGGCCAAGAAACACGAGCAATGTACATGAGACTGGTGGAAATGTGTCCTTTGGTCTGGAGTCCAAAATTGAGATTTTTGGTTCCAACCGCCGTGTCTTTGTGAGACACGGTGTGGGTGAACGGATGATCTCTGCATGTGTATTTTGCACCGTAAAGCATGTAGGAGGTGGTGTTATGGTGTGGGGGTGCTTTGCTGGTGACATGGTCTGTGATTTATACACTTAACCAGCATGTCTACAACAGCATTCTATATTGATACGCCATCCCATCTGGTTTGGGTTTAGTGGGACTATCATTTGTTTTTCAACAGGACAATGACCCAACACACCTCCAGGCTGTGTAAGGGCTATTTTACCAAGAAGGAGAGTGATGGAGTGCTGCATCAGATGACCTGGCCTCCACAATCCCCCCGACCTCAACCATATTGAGATGGTTTGGGATGAGTCGGACCGCAGAGTGAAGGAAAAGCAGCCAACAAGTGCTCAGCATATGTGGGAACTCCTTCAAGACTGTTGGAAAAGCATTCCAGGTGAAGCTGGTTGAGAGAATGCCAAGAGTGTGCAAAGCCGTCATCAAGGCAAAGGGTGGCTATTTGAAGAATCTTAAATATAAAATATATTTTGATTTGTTTAACACTTATTTGGTTATTGCTACATGATTCCATATGTGTTATTTCATAGTTTTGATGTCTTCACTATTATTCTACAATGTAGAAAATAGTAAAAATAAAGAAAAACTCTTGAATGAGTAGGTGTTCTAAAACGTTTGACAGGTAGTGTATTTTGAAGCATGCGTCGATGCAAGCTTCACCGGAAAGTATACACAGAAATATGATGCAACCACGTAAAAAACTACGCTAAATTTCTTGAAATCAATGGCAGACATTATTTTAGCTGAAGCGAGAGGAAATAAACTCACTTCAGAAAGAAATGTTGCCCATTAACATCTCATTGTTGCCCAACTACAATATTTTATCTTGATGTGTTAATAAATACATACTGTGTTAATTTTGGCATGTTTACCTGCCTACAATACCCACTGTAGTTTGCGTAGATCGCAAGCCCATAGTAAGTCAATAGGGCTAGCTAGCTATCAACAAAGAATTGGTAGCTAGCTACCAACGAAGAATTGACTGCAAGTCATCTAACTTGCATAACATTAGTTTTAGGTTGTGTTTGCCTGTTCAACTAGCTGGCTAGATAGATTATTACGATTCACATACAGCTAGCCGATAATTATGAAGTAAAACATTTGCTTTGTGTATATCTTGTTTAGTTTCTATTGCCATTGTCGTGGCTGGAAAAAATATTCAGTAAAATGGTGAGGTGCAGCCAGCGTGAGGTAGTACAGCAGTGCTTCTCAAATGTAGGGTGTCCATCCACTCTGCCCAGAGTGGGTGAAAACGCACTTCGGTGATTAAATTTCACTTCCTCATGTTCTAAAATACGTTTAACCAAGAAAAATATGATTAATCATGTTCTGAATCGTTCAGTGGGGTCTTTCATTAACATATCATTAAGATTATATCTGAAAAGTCAGATTTCGTAACCAAATACAGTGGGGGAAAAAAGTATTTAGTCAGCCACCAATTGTGCAAGTTCTCCTACTTAAAAAGATGAGAGAGGCCTGTAATTTTCATCATAGGTACACGTCAACTATGACAGACAAAATGAGAAAAAAAATCCTGAAAATCACATTGTAGGATTTTTAATGAATTTATTTGCAAATTATGGTGGAAAATAAGTATTTGGTCAATAACAAAAGTTTCTCAATACTTTGTTATATACCCTTTGTTGGCAATGACACAGGTCAAACGTTTTCTGTAAGTCTTCACAAGGTTTTCACACACTGTTGTTGGCATTTTGGCCCATTCCTCCATACAGATCTCCTCTAGAGCAGTGATGTTTTGGGGCTGTTGCTGGGCAACACAGACTTTCAACTCCCTCCAAAGATTCTCTATGGGGTTGAGATCTGGAGACTGGCTAGGCCACTCCAGGACCTTGAAATGCTTCTTACGAAGCCACTCCTTCGTTGCCCGGGCGGTGTGTTTGGGATCATTGTCATGCTGAAAGACCCAGCCACGTTTCATCTTCAATGCCCTTGCTGATGGAAGGAGGTTTTCACTCAAAATCTCACGATACATGGCCCCATTCATTCTTTCCTTTACACGGATCAGTCGTCCTGGTCCCTTTGCAGAAAAACAGTCCCAAAGCATGATGTTTCCACCCCCATGCTTCACAGTAGGTATGGTGTTCTTTGGATGCAACTCAGCATTCTTTGTCCTCCAAACACGACGAGTTGAGTTTTTACCAAAAAGTTCTATTTTGGTTTCATCTGACAATATGACATTCTCCCAATCCTCTTCTGGATCATCCAAATGCACTCTAGCAAACTTCAGACGGGTCTGGACATGTACTGGCTTAAGCAGGGGGACACGTCTGGCACTGCAGGATTTGAGTCCCTGGCGGCGTAGTGTGTTATTGATGGTAGGCTTTGTTACTTTGGTCCCAGCTCTCTGCAGGTCATTCACTAGGTCCCCCCGTGTGGTTCTGGGATTTTTGCTCACCGTTCTTGTGATCATTTTGACCCTACGGGGTGAGATCTTGCATGGAGCCCCAGATCGAGGGAGATTATCAGTGGTCTTGTATGTCTTCCATTTCCTAATAATTGCTCCCACAGTTGATTTCTTCAAACCAAGCTGCTTACCTATTGCAGATTCAGTCTTCCCAGCCTGGTGCAGGTCTACAATTTTGTTTCTGGTGTCCTTTGACAGCTCTTTGGTCTTGGCCATAGTGGCGTTTGGAGTGTGACTGTTTGAGGTTGTGGACAGGTGTCTTTTATACTGATAACAAGTTCAAACAGGTGCCATTAATACAGGTAACGAGTGGAGGACAGAGGAGCCTCTTAAAGAAGAAGTTACAGGTCTGTGAGAGCCAGAAATCTTGCTTGTTTGTAGGTGACCAAATACTTATTTTCCACCATAATTTGCAAATAAATTCATTAAAAATCCTACAATGTGATTTTCTGAAAATAAAATTCTAAATTTGTCTGTCATAGTTGACGTGTACCTATGATGAAAATTACAGGCCTCTCATCTTTTTAAGTGGGAGAACTTGCACAATTGGTGGCTGACTAAATACTTTTTTTCCCCACTGTACATCCGATAAGGTGCAGGTTTCGCGTAACATCTTTTGAGGATTTTACATTTTTTGGCCGTCGTCTTTAAAGTTGTTTCCACAGGTTGCAAAAATAACAATTAGCATGACACGAGCTGAATTAAATGGAAAAGGCTTTGAAAATAAAAAGCTTGGTATATGCTCAGTGCTCCGTTGACATCTCACAGAGATACGCTTGTTTTTGTGAGAAACCTTTAAAAAAAACTGGAATTTTGAATTAATATGAAAAGCATATACTAAAATATGAAAATACTACATGTCATATCTCAAAATTGATAACCATCTTACCGCTATATTATTTTATATCCTGCGGAGAAGATGACAAGTTCAACAGGAAAGTGAGCCTGTCAGGTTGCAAGTAGCATTAATTCTTGCACAGAATCCAGCCTAGCTGACACAATGCAATTTTCTTGATTTCTGACCACTTTTTTCCTCTGGCCTCCATTGATTTAGTCACCCTATTTCTGGCCATCTACATGGGTAAAAACCTTTGAACGGATTATGATAGCGACATGAGATTTGGACCACTGGGTTTCTTAGAGGATTATCTACACAATTAACATTATTTTACCCATTGGTAAAAATATGTGTTTTTGATTGGACACCCTATCAAATGTAATATTTTATGCAAGAGAACGTCTGTGGAGAATGCACTCGGAACATGAGTGTGGAGACAGTAGTATGCATATTGAGAAACACCCTAACATTTTTTGCGACATCTTCTGTATTTTACTGTCAATACTTCTTGCTGAAGGAAAGTGACTCTTCAATAAATGCCTGATAGTGAGGACACCTAACTTACCCTAAAATCTACACTAAATTTTTTTAGGTTGTCTATTTGTTTTCTGTGGTCTGGTGCCATGGAGGGGGGTCCTGCAGAGAGAGAGAGAGAGAGAGAGAGAGAGAGATAAGAGAGAGAGAGAGAGAAAGAGAGAGAGAGAGAGAGAGAGAGAGAGAGAAAGAGAGAGAGAGAGAGAGAGAGAGAGAGAGAGAGAGAGAAGAGAGCGAGAGAGTGAGCGAGAGAGGACAAGAAATAAAGCGAGGGAGAGAGGGAGAGAGGGAGAGAGGAGTGACATTGATCATTTCACCGATACAGAAATGCACAGTTTCATTTGAGACTTTGAAATGCAATCTCCCTAAAATGTGAGCTGTGTCCATGCTGCAGACCTTTAGAGAGGGGTCTGCTGATACTAGGGGGGCTCTCCAGGGGCTTCACGTTCTCCTTGTTGGCCGTAGGGGAGTTCTGTCTCGTCTCCTGGACACGAGACTCTTTTGCTATATCGAGGGAAGAAAGAGAGGAAAAGAGTCATCATCCTCCGTTCTATCGTCGAGTGCGGCCTAGCAAACTGCTTTGTTTGGAAAAGTGACCAATGCTTGACTTTGGCGCAGCTTCAGGTTATAGTCAGTGCTTCAGAGCCACATTTGCTACTCAAGCACAGCAAAGGGGTGGGTCACAATTTCACCATTGTGTATCAACTCTTCCCAAAATGTTCTACGTATAAAAAAAAGAGTCTGCATGGATGTGGCAAACAGACTTACCCTCTGCTGAGGGAGTGGCGGCCATATTGGGGGCGGGGCTAGCAGCAGTGGGTGATGAGGCTGATGGCGTGGTAACAGGTTCTACGGGGGTGGTCCCAGTCAGGGGCAAGGGGAGGGAGGAGGGGCCAGGGGAGGCCCCGCCCATGCTGTTCTGCCGAGGGGAGCGAGGTCTGTGTGCTGTAGGAGAGAGCAACGAACGCCATTAACCAACATCTACACAAGTCACACAGAGCTACATCCCTTGCACTACATAGCCTTCACAGCTATAATACACACAAACCTACTATGACCACGCAGTGGCTATTTGAGTAACATTTCTGTAACAATCCAAGCTTTTTTGCCAGGGGGCGTCATTCCCATCCCAATCCTTACAGACAGAGTGGTCTCTTACCCCCGCTGACCACGGAAGACCAGGTGCCACCGGAAGAGCTGCTGCGGGTTGGCGGGGGCACGGGCACCTCTCCTGGAGCATTGTGGTGCATGAAGTCTACTCCCGGAGGGACTCTACACCCAGGGGGAACTCTGTGAGTGCGTGGGGCGCGCTGTGTCTTCGGTGACATCCTGGGAGGGCCTGGAGGGAGAGAGCTTGTCGTGAGACATCACATCATTTAGACAGAAGGGTGAAGAAGCGGAGGTAGGGACTGCAATCATTCATTAGTACCAGTAATGCTCAGTCTGTTAGACCAGGGATAGCAGGGTCTCCCCCTGCCTAAATAAAAGGTTAAATGAAATTAGCTGCGGGCCACCCGAGTGGCGCGGCGGTCTAAGGCACTGCATTGCAGTGCTAGAGGCGTCACTACAGACCCGGGTTCGATCCCGGGCTCTGTCGCAGCCGGCCGCGACCGGGAGACACGAGGCTGCGCACAATTGGCCCAGCGCCGTCCGGGTTAGGGGAGGGTTTGGCCGGCTGGGATGTCCTTGTCCCATCGCGCTCTAGCGACAACTTGTTGGCTTCGGTCGCCAGCTGTACAGTGTTTCCTCCGACACATTGGTGCGGCTGGCTTCCGGGCTAAGCGAGGAGTGTCAAGAAGCAGTACGGCTTGGCGGGGTCGTGTTTCGGGGGACGCATGGCTCTCGACCTTCACCGTATGGGAGTTGCAGCGATGGGATAAGACTAACTACCAATTGGATATCACGAAATAATGAATAACATGACAGTGTTTCCCCTATAGTCATTTAGCAACGGCTGGGCAGCCAATCGCCACTTCCTCCAAGCCCCCCCAAAAAAGGTATACAATGCATTCGGAGAGTATTAAGACCCCTTCACTTTTTCCACATTTTGTTACGTTAGAGCCTTATTCTAAAATTCTTAAATTGAGTTTGGAACCCACAAGACTCTTCCTAGAGCTGGCCGCCCGGCCAAACTGAACAATTGGGGGAGAAGGGCCTTGGTCAGGGAGGTGACCAAGAACCCGATGGTCACTCTGACAGAGCTCCTCTGTGAAGATGGGAGAACCTTGTACAGAAGTATTCAGACCCCTTCACTTTTTCCATATTGTTACGTTACAGCCATATTCTAAAATTGATTAAATAGTTTTTTCCTCAATCTACACACAATACCCCATCATGACAAAGCAAAAACGTTATTTTGTAAATTTATAAAATAAATTGAAATATAACATTTACATAAGTATTCAGAAGCACCTTTGGCAGCGATTACAGCCTCAAGTCTTCTTGGGTATGACGCTACAAGCTTGGCACACCTGTATTTGGGGAGTTTCTCCCATTCTTCTCTGCAGATCCTCTCAAGCTCTGTCAGGTTGGATGGGGAGCGTCGCTGCACAGCTATTTTCAGGTCACTACAGAGATGTTCGATCGGGTTCAAGTCCGGGCTCTGGCTGGGCCACTCAAGGACATTCAGAGACTTGTCCCGAAGCCACTCCTGCGTTGTCTTGGCTGTGTGCTTAGGATCGTGTTCCTGTTGGAAGGTAAACCTTCGCCCCAGTCTGAGGTCCTGAGCGCTCTGGAGCAGGTTTTCATCAAGGATCTCTCTGTACTTTGCTCCGTTTATATTTCCCTCGATCCTGAATAGTCTCCCAGTCGCCTGCCACTGGAAAACATCCCCACAGCATGATGCTGCCTCCACCATGCTTAACCGCAGGGTTGGTGCCAGGTTTCCTCCAGACGTGACGCTTGGCATTCAGGCCAAAGAGTTCAATCTTGGTTTCATCAGACCAGAGAATCTTGTTTCTCATGGTCTGAGAGTTCTTTAGGTGCCTTTTGGCAAACTCCAAGCGTGTTGTCATGTGCCTTTTACTGAGGAGTGGCTTCCTTCTGGCCACTCCACCATAAAGGCCTTCTGGAAGGTTCCCCCATCCCCACAGAAGAACTCTGGAGCTCTGTCAGAGTGACCATCGGGTTCTTGGTCACCTCCCCAGATTGCTCAGTTTGGCCGGCCGGCCAGCTCTAGGAAGAGTCTTGGTGGTTCCAAACATCTTCCATGTAAGAATGATGGAGGCCACTTTGTTCTTGGGGACCTTCTATGCTGCAGACATTTTTTGGTACCCTTCCCCAGATCTGTGCCTCGACACAATCCTGTCTTGGAGCTCTACGGACAATTTATTCGACCTCATAGCTTGGTTTTTGCTGTGACATGCATTGTCAACTGTGGGACATTATATAGACAGGTGTGTGCCTTTCCAAATCATATCCAATCAATTGAATTTACCACAGGTGGACTCCAATCAAGTTGTAGAAATATAAAGGATGATCAATGGAAACAGGATGCACCTGAGCTCAATTGAGTCTCATAGCAAAGGGTCTGAATACTTATGTAAATAAGGTATCTGTTTTTTCTTTTTAATACATTTGCAAAAATGTCTAAAAACCTGTTTTCACTTTGTCACTATGGGGCATTGTGTGTAGATTGACAAGGAAAAATATGTATTTAATTCATTTTAGAATAAGGCTGTAACGTAACAAAATGTGGAAAATACTTTCCAAATGGACTGTATTAAATGTACTTTAGAAAATAATTTTCAGGATAGTAAAACGTTTTCAGTGTAAATTTAAATGACAAAAAAATGAAAAGATAAATGGACCTATATATTTTTATAAGATCATCTTTGAGAACTAACAACCACCAAAATAAAAACTAGACAGTCAGGAGAATCTAAAATTCCCAAAATGTTGTGGCATGGGGCCTCCACTGACTTTGTTATAATGTTTGAGTCACTCAGATAGCATAAGAACACGGCATAAGCCATGGGGAAAATGTGTAGAACTCCAGGAAATTGGCTTTTAAACTGCAATTCTTTCTCTCAGCCCCATGACAGAATATGTAGAATTGCAGGAAATTCGCTTTAAAACATATACATTTTGTCTCTGCAGCCAAGAGGGCCTCAAATGTTTGTTTGGAGACGCCGCCATTGGACATGCCCACACGGACACCCAATACCACGCTCCCCACCACAATAACTTTGCCACCACTGCTGAAAATAATCCTAGGGGAAACATTGATCAGGAATACATACACCCTTTTTCCTTCAACAATAAAATGGCCATCAATTCACCCAGTGGACATACAGTGAGGGAAAAAAGAATTTGATCCCCTGCTGATTTTGTATGTTTGCCCACTGACAAAGACATGATCAGTCTATAATTTTAATGGTAGGTTTATTTGAACAGTGAGAGACAGAATAACAACAAAATAATCCAGAAAAACGCATGTCAAAAATGTTATAAATTAATTTGCATTTTAATGAGGGAAATAAGTATTTGACCCCTCTGCAAAACATGACTTAGTACTTGGTGGCAAAACCCTTGTTGGCAATCAGAGGTCAGACGTTTCTTGTAGTTGGCCACCAGGTTTGCACACATCTCAGGAGGGATTTTGTCCGACTCCTCTTTGCAGATCTTCTCCAAGTCATTAAGGTTTCGAAGCTGACGTTTGGCAACTCGAACATTCAGCTCCCTCCACAGATTTTCTATGGGATTAAGGTCTGGAGACTGGCTAGGCCACTCCACGACCTTAATGTGCTTCTTCTTGAGCCACCCCTTTGTTGCCTTGGCCGTGTGTTATGGGTCATTGTCATGCTGGAATACCCATCCACTACCCATTTTCAATGCCCTGGCTGAGGGAAGGAGGTTATCACCCAAGATTTGACAGTACATGGCCCCATCCATCGTCCCTTTGATGCGGTGAAGTTGTCCTGTCCCCTTAGCAGAAAAACACCCCCAAAGCATAATGTTTCCACCTCCATGTTTGACGTTGGGGATGGTGTTCTTGGGGTCATAGGTAGCATTCCTCCTCCTCCAAACACGGCGAGTTGAGTTGATCCCAATGAGCTCCATTTTCGTCTCATCTGACCACAACACTTTCACCCAGTTCTCCTCTGAATCATTCAGATGTTCATTGGCAAACTTCAGACGGGCCTGTATATGTGCTTTCTTGAGCAGGGGGACCTTGCGGGCGCTGCAGGATTTCAGTCCTTCATGGCGTAGTGTGTTACCAATTGTTTTCTTGGTGACTATGGTCCCAGCTGCCTTGAGATCATTGACAAGATCCTCCTGTGTAGTTCTGGGCTGATTCCTCACCGTTCTCATGATCATTGCAACTCCACGAGGTGAGATCTTGCATGGAGCCCCAGGCCGAGGGAGATTGACAGTTCTTTTGTGTTTCTTCCATTTGCGAATAATCGCACCAACTGTTTCTCACCTTCTCACCAAGCTGCTTGGCGATGGTCTTGTAGCCCATTCCAGCCTTGTGTAGGTCTACAATCTTGTCCCTGACATCCTTGGAGAGCTCTTTGGCCTTGGCCATGGTGGAGAGTTTGGAATCTGATTGATTGATTGCTTCTGTGGACAGGTGTCTTTTATACAGGTAACAAACTGAGTTTAGGAGCACTCTCTTTAAGAGTGTGCTCCTAATCTCAGCTCGTTACCTGTATAAAAGACACCTGGGAGCCAGAAATCTTTCTGATTGAGAGGGGGTCAAATACTTATTTCCCTCATTAAAATGCAAATCAATTTATAAAAATGTTGACATGCGTTTTTCTGGATTTTGTTGTTGTTATTCTGTCTCTCACAGTTCAAATAAACCTACTATTAAAATTATAGACTGATCATTTCTTTGTCAGTGGGTAAACATAAAAAATCAGCTGGGGATCAAATACTTTTTTCCCTCACTGTAAGCACTCACAAGTCTGCCTGACAACAACAAGACTTTCACCAGTTCATACTGGTTTCAATGCCACACATGGGAGTGTTACCGGTGAGTGAGACACACAGAGACCCAGCCCCCTGGAGAGACTGCCATCAGTGACCAACAACACCACACACAATTCACACCACAATGCAATCTGTGTGAGTTGAGGAGAGGGGAGACAGCGAGAAAGAGAGAGCGAGAGGAGGTAAGGCAAAGACAAAAACACACCAAAAAAAGTGTTGCAGTAGCACAGCTAACCCAGTATCAGCCTAGTCCAGTGAGCCCAGCGGTGCATGTGGCTCTGTGTGTTGGGAGGGAGGTAGCTACCTTCGGAGGACATGAGTCTATTGGGCATAGTGTAGACGAGAGCTGGAGCGCCGTGAGCGGAGGGGTGAGACGGGGGCCGGGAAGGCCGCGAGGGGGGTCTGGAGGGAGGCCGGGTGGGTGTGGCCACCCTGGTTGGGAGAGAGGAGGGCCCTGACTGGTAGCAAAAAGGAGGACGCGAGGAGGGAGATGGCCAGGAGGCGGCACCTAATAGGGACAAATGGAGAATGAGACGAGGAGGAGAAATAAGGGAAAACAAGAGAAAGCAAAGACAGAAAGAGGTCAAATAATAAATAATGACATATAATAGGGAGAAGGGGTAAAGAGGAAGGATGAGGTCTATGAGGAAAAGGAGGGTGATTCAAGGAAAGGTGGAGGAGGGTTCAGGTAGAGAGGGAGAGGAACAGCGTAGCAAAGAAGAATGAACTCCAGTGATTTTCTGATTGAAACAGTATACACTTGAAAAAGGTCAAAGAAACTTAAACAGGTGCAGAACAACAGGACATTTCAGGAAATTAAACTCAACTGACATTAGAAATGTTCATGTAGGCCGAGATGCATGCAATGAAGGTTTTTGGATAAGAGGATGAGTAGATGACCCCAACAGAATAGTCCCTGAAACTCGAGGCCAAACCAATATGGGCCAGTTTGGCAGATACAGATTAAACATAGGCCTGGACTAACAAGCACCTTCCATGGAGATACTCATTGTTGAAGAAAGGTTTTAAATTAAATCACACTGCATGATTAAATGAAGTTTACATTTTTTGCTCTTTGCACAGTGCTTATTCTGTGTCAGAATAACCTGAATCCTACAGGTGAACGTCTTAACTAAAATGTTGCATTTCGGGAAAAGAAAAGGATTTAAATTCAAGCGACGTGTCGATAGAAATGTTAAGCATACCGGTGAACTGAAAATAAGGAAGCTGAAAATGGATTGGGTAGATTCAGGACTGTGAGATGGGCCCATGCAAGGACAGCCAAAGAGATGTCCACACAACTGCCCTTTAACCTCTACAGGATGCCTGTAACAACCCAATCAGGGGGAGAATCTCAATTGCATTTCCTTGATTCCTCATGTCCTCTCTCATCACCTCCTTCTCAAAACCCATTGGATGAGAAGGTCAGAGGTCCCTCCCCTCTGACCTCATCTAATAGGTTTTTAGAAGGAGGCGAGATGACACAAGGAATCAAGGAAATGCAATTGCGATTCTCCCAGGGTGACCCAACACGCAGACTTCCTCTAGCTTTGACAATAGTGCTTTCTCATTCAGTGATTGTGTGGTGTCATTATTGTTCCGTGCGCTAGGGTGCAGGGGGTCCTTACCTCCGTTGACAACCCGCTGGTCGGCTCCAGAGCTGGGGCTGTAGTCATGTGGACCGGGCCGCGGAGGTCCACTGCTGCTCTGGACCAACCTGGGGGAGTTCTGACGACCCGCTCCCCATGACATCCCCTCTCTGTTCCTCTGGCCCGGGGGAATGTACTTGTTTTCTCTAGATCAGAGACCCAGGTGGAAAAGTTACAAACGAATGCAACTACCACAATGTCAAATCAGAGGTGTGAATTGGTGGTGGAATCCAGCAATAAACCTACAAGCCTGCTTCTGAACTGTCCACAATGGAACAAGAGCTTGAAGACACTGCAGTATGCCAGTATGCTAACCCTGCATGACCAAAGGAGCGAGTTACGAGTGACTGGCTGAACATGGATGTAGCAACCCTTACAACCATCAACTATTTACACTGAACAAAAATATAAAACGCAACATGTACATTTTGGTCCCATGTTTCATGAGCTGAAATAAAATATCCCAGAAATGTTCCATATGCACAAAAAAGCTTATTTCTCTCAAATTTGGTTCACAAATTTGTTTACATCTCTGTTAGTGAGCATTTCTCCTTCGCCAAGATAATCTATCCACCTGACAGGTGTGGCATATCAAGGAGCTGATTAAACAGCATGATCATTACACAGGTGCACCTTGTGCTGGGAACAATAAAAGGCAACTCTAAAATGTGCAGTTTTGTCACACAACACAATGCCACAGACGTCTGAAGTTTTGAGGGAGCGTGCAATTGGCAGAGATGTTGCCATAGAATTGAATGTTCATTTCTCTACCATAAGCCGCCTACAACGTCGTTGTAGAGAATTTGGCAGTACGTCCAACCGGCCTCACAACCGCAGACCACATGTATGGCGTTGTGTGGGTGAGCGATTTGCTGATGTCAACGTTGTGAACAGTGTCCTTATGGTGGCGGTGGGCTTATGCAGGCATAAGCTACGGACAACGAACACAATTGCATTTTATCGCTGGCAATTTCAATGCACAGAGACACCGTGACAAGATCCTGAGGCCCATTGTCGTGCCATTCATTCACCGCCATTACCTCATGTTTGAGCATGATAATGCACGGCCCCTGTCGCATAGATCTGTAAACAATTCCTGGAAGCTGAAAATATCCCAGTTCTTCCATGGCCTGCATACTCACCAGACATGTCACCCATTGAGCATGTTTTGGGATGCTCTGGATAGATTTGTACGACAGCGTGTTCCAGCTCCCGCCAATATCCAGCAACTTCACACAGCCATTGAAGAGGAGTGGGACAACATTACACAGGCCACAATCAACAGCCTGATCAACTCTATGCGAAGGAGATGTGTCGAGCTGCATGAGGCAAATGGTGGTCACACCAGATACTGACTGGTTTTCTGATCCATGCCCCTACCTTAGGGTTTAATGAATTTATTTCAATTGATTTCCTTATATGAACTGTAACTCAGTAAAATCAAAAAAATGGTTGCATGTTTATATTTTTGTTCAGTATAATTATGTTGAAATCCCCCCTCAGAGAGACCCACCTGTTGAGTGTGTGTGGCTCCCTCTCTCCCCTCTCTCCGCGCACCACGGCTGAGTACTTCTCCTCCTCGGTGCGCTCGTCGTCCTCCAGGGCCACGCGGGCCTTGTAGGTAGCGCTGGCCTCGATCTCCTGTGCCAGCTGGGCTGCCCGCGCCTCCCGCTTCAGGAACTCCTCTGAGTTATCCCGCTCCAGGGCGACCCTGCATGGGGCAGCACAGCACAGGGCAAAACTTAGTCACACCCCCGTCCCCAAACACACACACACACAAAGCTAGGTGGGTGCTACACACTGGTAGTGGATGAGGAGATAAACTTGATAAACCTGGCTGTGCCTGTACGAGGCGTGAGTGGAGTGAGAGAGGCGAGTCCTGCTTACGTGTAGGTGGACAGGCTGCTGTCGTAGGTCGACTTGATGCCGTACTGCTCTTCGTTGTACTTGAACATGTCATTCGGGTCCCATCCATTAGACTGGAGAGAGAGAGAGGATAGAGAGAGAGGTTGTTGGTCAGATGGGGTAAACTGATGGTGAGTGGGGAGTAACAGCAGCAGAGAGAGATACAGTACAGGGGTGAATTCACTAGGAACCAAATGGTAGCAAACGGAACGAAACGGCGACGGACCTGCCTGAATTTGTCCAATCAGAAACTCTCATTTTAGTTGCAAAACATATTCCGTTGCAAAGCGTTTTGCTACAGTGTGCACTAATGAATACACCCCGGTACATGCAGAGCACTAAATGGAAAGCAATACCACGTCTGTGTCCAGGGACTCCAGGCTGCCTGAGACGACGTGCTGCTGCTGCTGCTCCCCTCCGTCCCACGGCTCCAGGTCCTTCTCCTTGTGCTCCCCGTTGATTCTGCTGTTCACCGCCACCGCCGTATCCGTGAACTTGTCTACATGTTACATCACACATTCACATTTATATTCAGCATGCAAACAGAGGGGCCACACACACACACACACTGTGCAGGTGTCGAGAGGGTACCACATACACACAGCACATGATGTGCAGTTCTAAGATCCAAGTGCGCTCTCTGCTTTGGCAGTGATCATGTCAGGCTAACCATTAGACAGTCACAACCCAGAGGTAGCAAAATCATAGGGTTGACATTAAGGAGAATGAGTACAGAAATCAATGAGGGTAAGCAAAAAAAAACATGCACTTAGATTGCAGTCATGTAGGACGACTTGTGGCCTGCCTGGAAATGGGATCAGGCAGAATTGAATGAATAAGCAAAATGAATGTTAGAATGCACAAGCCAGATTCTTATACTAGAGATCAGAAGAGAGAATTAAATGTGCCATATTTCAGCACAAATCAACACAAATCTTTGCGTTGTACACCTGTGTAAATACTTTGATGTGTTTCAGTTGCATTTATTCAATAGATTCGTCCAAATCACACTTAGTTTTTCTGAAATCACCCCTCCGGCTTTACTTTGAGAATAAAGCTCTTAAGAGAATAACAAGATTTGGGTGGGGGTACAGGTGGGTCCTCCATTGAAATACAGTCTGATGAAAGTCAAATATGAGGATTGCCCATTAGCTGAGGTTGCATTTCCTCAAAGCCTTTGAGATATTACAGTTCAGTCCCTTTCAAAATGAAAATGTGTACGCGTCAACAAACAAAAGTGCAAGAGCAGAAAACAGACATATTACCTGTGTCAGTAGAGACTACACCCATTTGAGGAGAGAGACATGGAAGAGAGGGTCAGTGGAGAGAAGACGGGTAGCCTAAACCTAGCCTATTGGGTTTCCCCACCTTTTTCCTGAAGCACCACTCTATATTGAGGTTTCCATTCCAACCACTTAGCTATGTTTCTTTCCTCTTCAAACCAAATGGGTTACTGATGAGGTTATGGGTTACCTGTTCAATATGGCACATGGCCATCACGATTTGGAAATATTGTATGCATTTAAAGGCTCAGACACGGCAATAGTGTTTACTGGCCAAGAGTACTTAGCGCCACTGAACGTAATTTGCGAACCGAGTGTGCACCGATATTACATGTAGAATTGTGTGAAAATTACAGCAGTCAGACGTCTACAGCGGGTGGCCCTTAAAACGATCGGCAGACGTGTGCAAGCCTTAACATGTGACCTTTGCCGTTTGTCAGCTAGAAACTGGGTTGGCTACAACAAGAACACTGATCCAAGATGCTAACTCCCAGAAAGAGTCTATCATAGTTCACTGTGGGGTGTATGGGTCATGACAGGTTTAGAGGTGGTTTACAGTGCATTTGGAAAGTATTCAGACACCTTCACTTTTTCCACTTTGTTACATTTTAGCCTTATTCTAAAATTGATTAAATAAATACAAAATCCTCATCAATCTACACACAATACCACATAATGACAAAGTGAACAGGTTTTTATACCTTTTTGCTAAAAAAAAAAAAAATACCTTATTTACATAAGTATTCAGACCCTTTGCTATGAGACTTGAAATTGAGCTCAGGTGCATCCGGTTTCCATTAATCATCCTTGAGATGTTTCTACAACTTGATTAGAGTCCACCTGTGGTAAATTCAATTGATTGGACATGATTTGGAAAGGCACACACCTGTCTATATAAGGTCCCACAGTTGACAGCGCATGTCAGAGCAAAAACCAAGCCATGATGTCGAAGGAATTGTCCGTAGAGCTCCGAGACAGGATTGTGTCGAGGCACAGATCTGGGGAAGGGTACCAAAACATTTCTGCAGCATTGAAGGTACCCAAGAACACAGTGGCCTCCATCATTCTTACATGGAAGAAGTTTGGAACCACCAAGACTCTTCATAGAGCTGGCCGGCCGTAAAGAACCTGATGGTCACTCTGACAGAGCTCCAAAGTTCCTCTGTGGAGATGGGAGAACCTTCCAGAAGGACAACCATCTCTGCAGCATTCCACCAATCAGGCCTTTATAGTAGTGGCCAGACAGATGCCACTCCTCAGTAAAAAGGCACATGACAGCCCGCTTGGAGTTTGCCAAAAGGCACCTAAAGGACTCTCAGACCATGAGAAACAAGATTATCTGGTCTGATGAAACCAAGATTGAACTCTTTGGCCTGAATTCCAAGCGTCACGTCTGGAGGAAGCCTGGCACGATCCCTACGGTGAAGCGTGGTGGCAGCATCATGCTGTGGGGATGTTTTTCAGCGGCATGGACTGGGAGACTAGTCAGGATCGAGGAAAAGATGAACGGAGCAAAGTACAGAGAGATCCTTGATGAAAACCTGCTCCAGAGTGCTCAGGACCTCAGACTGGGGGAAAATGTTCACCTTCCAACAGCACAACAACCCTAAGCACACAGTCAAGACAACACAGGAGTGGCTTCTGGACAAGTCTCTGAATGTCCATGAGTGGCCCAGCCAGAGCCCGGACTTGAACCCGATCGAACATCTCTGGAGAGACCTGAAAATAGCTGTGCAGCGACGCTCCCCATCCAACCTGACAGAGCTTGAGAGGATCTGCAGAGAAGAATGGGAGAACCTCCCCAAATACAGGTGTGCCAAGCTTGTAGCGTCATACCCAAGAAGACTCGAGGCTGTAATCGCTGCCAAAGGTGCTTCAACAAAGTACTGAGTAAAGGGTCTGAATTACTTATGTAAATGTGATATTTCAGTTTTTTCAAAATCCAAAAACCTGTTTTTGCTTTGTCATCATGTGGTATTGTGTGTAGATTGATGAGGGGAAAAAACAACTTAATCAATTTTAGAATAAGGCTGTAACGTAACAAAATGTGGAAAAAGTGAAGGGGTCTGAATCCTTTCCGAATGCACTGTAGATGTATGGGATTCATTCAGCCTTATTGAGATCCCCTGCAGTGCCTGCGAGACATTCAGAGCAATCAATATTTCAGATTATTCCTCAATGACTGACCACAGAGCACTCAGCCACACATGATCCGGCTCTAAGCTCTACTTCTCGGACCCGACAACATTTCACATAGGAGGGATGGCCAATAAATAAGCATTTATTTGTGCATCCAGTCAACTTTTGGGGACAGTCTTTTAGGGGACAGTGACAAGTGTATAGGTATTGACAGTAGGCCTTACTTTTACTTGCAAAATTGAGGTCCACGTCTCTGAAGTGCACCACCACCACGTCAGAAGCCTTGAAGATGATGCTCTCCATGATGTCTTCCTGTCGCGGGCCCACGCTGGGCTTAGGGATCTTCCTGTGGGCTGCATCCAGGACCAGGTCACACTGGGTGGACAAAGAATGGTGTAGTGGTGAGAGAGCTGAATCACTTATGGTTGTAAACTCTTACGTTCTCCTACTTCCTGGAGGGAATACATGGTTATGTTTTACATTTATTTTGGTTTTATGTGCTTGACGTGAGATTATGAACACTGTCAGTAACTGAGCCATGCAATGCATTTACCCTAAATGAATGGACGACAAGGCTGTTCAACTTGAACCTAAAGTTGAATTTAGGCTAAAGCCCTATTCACACGGGACTAGTATTCCTATAGAACGTCGGTTATGTAATAATTACCCCAGCATGTCAGTTTTTCCAGTGGACGATTCGGACAGGATTTGTTTTTACAAAACCGCCCCTGTAATTCTTTTTTTCCCCTCATTAACAATTGACCGTTATGACAGAAGCCTGGAGGCTCTTCTAGGCGTGAAGATATTTCAAATATAGGCCCAATGTCTAAATAATAATGTATTTCAATAAGAACCATGAACTGTAACCTATGCAGACATTTAATTACCTGAATTATTTGGCAATTTATCAATTAATTGGCACAATATTGTCCACTTTATCTTTTAAAAGAAGAGTATGGCACTATGAAAGTTGATATACAGTGAGGGAAAAAAGTATTTGATCCCCTGCTGATTTTGTACGTTTGCCCACTGACAAAGAAATTATCAGTCTATAATTTTAATGGTAGGTTTATTTGAACAGTGAGAGACAGAATAACAACAAAAGAATCCAGAAAAACGCATGTAAAAAATGTTATCAATTGATTTGCATTTTAATGAGGGAAATAAGTATTTGACCCCTCTGCAAAACATGACTTAGCACTTGGTGGCAAAACCTTTGTTGGCAATCACAGAGGTCAGACGTTTCTTGTAGTTGGCCACCAGGTTTGCACACACCTCAGGATGGATTTTGTCCCACTCCTCTTTGCAGATCTTCTCCAAGTCATTAAGGTTTTGAGGCTGACGTTTGGCAACTCGAACCTTCAGCTCCCTCCACAGATTTTCTATGGGATTAAGGTCTGAAGACTGGCTAGGCCACTCCAGGACCTTAATGTGCTTTTTCTTGAGCCACTCCTTTGTTGCCTTGGGCCGTGTGTTTTGGGTCATTGTCATGCTGGAATACCCATCTATGACCCATTTTCAATGCCCTGGCTGAGGGAAGGAGGTTCTCACCCAAGATTTGACGGTACATGGCCCTGTCCATCGTCCCTTTGATGCAGTGTAGTTGTCCTGTCCCCTTAGAAGAAAAACACCCCCAAAGCATAAAGTTTCCACCTCCATGTTTGACGGTGGGGATGGTGTTCTTGGGGTCATAGGCAGCATTCCTCCTCCTCCAAACACAGCGAGTTGAGTTGATGCCAAAGAGCTCCATTTTGGTCTCATCTGACCACAACACTTTCACCCAGTTCTCCTCTGAATCATTCAGATGTTCATTGGCAAACTTCAGACGGGCATGTATATGTGCTTTCTTGAGCAGGGGGACCTTTTGGGCGCTGCAGGATTTCAGTCCTTCAAGGCGTAGTGTGTTACCAATTGTTTTCTTGGTGACTATGGTCCTAGCTGCCTTGAGATCATTGACAAGATCCTCCCATGTAGTTCTGGGCTGATTCCTCACCGTTCTCATGATCATTGCAACTCCACGAGGTGAGATCTTGCATGGAGCCCCAGGCCGAGGGAGATTGACAGTTATTTTGTGTTTCTTCCATTTGCGAATAATTTCACCAACTGTTGTCACCTTCTCACCAAGCTGCTTGGCGATGGTCTTGTAGCCCATTCCAGCCTTGTGTAGGTCTACAATCTTGTCCCTGACATCCTTGGAGAGCTCTTTGGTCTTGGCCATGGTGGAGAGTTTGGAATCTGATTGATTGATTGCTTCCGTGGACAGGTGTCTTTCATACAGGTAACAAACTGAGATTAGGAGCACTCCCTTTAAGAGTGTGCTCCTAATCTCAGCTCGTTACCTGTATAAATGACACATGGGAGCCAGAAATCTTTCTGATTGAGAGGGGGTCAAATACTTATTTCCCTCATTAAAATGCAAATCAATTTATAAAGTTTTTGCGTTCTTCTGGATTTTTTTGTTGTTATTCTGTCTCTCACTGTTCAAATAAACCTACCATTAAAATTATAGACTGATCATTTCTTTGTCAGTGGGAAAACGTACAAAATCAGCAGGGGATCAAATACTTTTTTCCCTCACTGTATGACAAAACAGGTCATTCATCTGTAGGCTACGTGCATAGCACTTTGTTTTAAGCATCAATGTATTACCATGTTCTTACCCAAACTGGGTGCAGCACTTGTTAAACTCTGTAATATCCCTCAAAACACAGGGATGAGGATTCGCACAGGATACTGTACGTTTTATCAGTGTAGGTTTTTAGGGCTGGGATAATAACCTTCCTGCCAAGCAAAAATTACTGACATAGCAGATTCGGACGGAACAAAAATTACGAATGTGGTGATTTGTCCTCGTGCACATAATTACATTACCTGCGTTCCCCCAGTAAAACGTATCCCATCCAAATAGGGCTTAAGGCCCACTGTTTTTTGTGTAACCCTTATTTTTTATTACCAAGAAAGATTAAATATGCTGGGCCTCAGGTTATAGAACACTGCTCCAGCCACAACAATTTACTGACTTGTCACCTAATAGGAAAAAGGACCGAGCTGTATGTATTCCACTGTGGTGAATGTTGAAGAGTTGCCATTGTTTTATGTGATCCTCCTCCTTACCTCTGGGCCATATGTTTTAAACACTCCGTCATAAACCAATCCATTTTTAACCTTCAGTTCGCATTTGGATCCCTGCAAATGAGAAAAACATGTTATTTTCATACACATGAGTTGTACTGTTTTGTTTAAATCAACTATGACCCTTGCACTGCTGCTAGGAAGTAACTCCATTGGCAGTCTGAACAACACATTTAAAGACATGCGCCATAACTTTGGTGACAAGTAAGTATTTTTTAAACCTCCCGCTTTGGGCTGGATGTGTCAATGTGTAGTTCATACTAGGGCTGGGCGGTATACCGTATTTTACTATATACCGGTATTGATGCACGGGCTGGTTTGGGTTTTTACTTTACCTTGTATAACGGTATTTCAATGTTTGGTTTGTTAAATGTCTTATGCCACTCCGCCCCGTGCAATAATGTCAGTTCTTATAGTTTACTCTGTTTGCTTCTCCCTCTCTCCTTCCAAACACCAAGCCCTGCCCCCTGTCACTCAAGGAGAGCAGTTTGTTGTGCTACCACCAGAGACAGAAGAGAAACTCGCTGTTTTTTTCTGTTTCAATGAAAGTCAAATTAACTAAGTAGACCCTGCTGCTATTGCATAGGTGTCTAAGGGAGACCCACCCCGTTAAGTAGACTGGAACTGACCTTTTGTTCTCAATGGTAAATGACCTGAGTGAATTATCTTCATTTATCCGCCATCTTTGCTACCATCCCGAGTCACAACAACCACTCACAGTGACAGTCTGCATGGTCAATGATGCAGAGCAGATGCAATGCTGCAGATGTTGGTGACAACGATGCTGCTTTCCACTTTGCGTCTTAATATAAATCCACAAGAGTTCTATAAGCACAATATTAGTTTGTGTATGTTACTGTCTGGAAACGGCTAGTTTGTCTTTTCTTAGCAAGTTGAGGCTAAAATAAATATTGTTAGCCACTAATGCTAATCGCTAGTTAGCTGGCTAGCTAGCTAAATGTACTTAGTCAGAGCAAACGTAGCTAGCTAGCTAATACATCCCGATACCAGTGCTGGTGTATGCCTTGATCAGTTGTTTGTGCAACGGTACATTCTAAATCAGAGAGGAATAGGCGAAGCACTAACATTTTAGCTACAATAAGATAAAACATTTAATGTAACATTAATTAGGGTCCACTGGGAAACACTGACCAACACTTTGGTTCCTACCCTGTCACAAAATAAAACAAGATGGCGTAGCAGTGCGGTCGCTTTTATTTCATCGTCCTGTGTAAATATCCCGTTTCTTGTTTTTTTTTGTCTATTTTGTATATATTTCTCAATTTTTACTTTCATTCTTTAACTAAATATACTTTCCTGCAACCCGCCTCACCCAACGTGGAAAGGATTCTATTATTTCTTTATAACTTTCATCAAGAACCGTAAGCTGAAACGAGTGTAGCCGCAATCTGAATGGCTACCTGTTATTAGTCACCGTTAGCGTCTTCACCACTGTCCGTGGCCTACACTATCCACCAGCCAGCTCTAGCTCTAGCCTGGACAATTCGTCGGCCAGTCTGCACAGCGTGCTATCGACCCAGCGTGCTATCGACCCAGAGCTTATTGGACTTTCTGCCGGAATCACAGGACCCTAGCGCCGGATCATCACAACCAGCTAGCTAGCTGCAACCTGTTGTTGGCTGATTACCATTGCCCTATAGCAAGCACCAGTTAGCCCTGAGCTAGCCTCAGGCCCATCTCCCGGCTATCTACCTCTCTGTTCAACCGGACGGGACCTCCTAGTGTTGACACTGAGCCCCGCCGATCCAACACGACTGGTTTGCCGACGAAATAGTCTGATGTGATTTCAACAGGCTTCCCGTTGCGACGACCACGAAGATCCATCTGCCAGCCCGGCCCGCTAGCACACGCAAACTACAACTGTGCTCCCTGCTAGCTGTGCTGAAGCAACAATTTGAACTGCTCTCGGACTCACATATTGCTGTTCACTGGACCTTATGATCACTCAGCTGCACAGCTGATGCCTGCTGGACTGTTCCTTTACACGGTACCCTGTCCTGTTTATTCTGTTTAGTCTTAGCCCAAACGTTATCGCTATTTCCAGTTGTGTCTTAGCTCTCTCTAATAACACCCGTGACTGCTTTATGCCTCTCTAACATGTCAATTATGCCTTGCCTATTGCTGTTTGGGTTAGTTCTTATTATACAATTTTACTGTAGAACCCCTAGTCCCTCTCAAACTGCCTAATATAGTTCCTTTGTTCCACCCCCCATACACGCCGAGACCGGCTCAATCGATGCCTCCAATGACGCTATCTCTTTCATTGTTACCCAACGCTTAGGGTTACCTGAACTGTACTCATATCCTTCCATATCCTTTTCTGTACATAATGCCCTGAATCTTTTCTACAACGCCAGGAGAACTGCCCCCTTTATTCTATGTACCCAACGCACTAGAAGACTAGTTCTTAAAGCCTTTAGTCGTATCCTTATTCTAGTCCTCCTCTGTTCCTCTGGTGATGTAGAGGCTAACCCAGGCCCTGCAGCCCCCAGTATCACTCCTACTCCCCAGGAGCTATCATTTGTTGACTTCTGTAACCGTAAAAGTCTTGGTTTTCTGCACATAAATATCAGAAGCCTCCTTCCTAAGTTTGAGTTATTCACTGCGTTAGCACACTCCGCCAACCCTGATGTTCTAGCAGTGTCTGAATCCTGGCTTAGGAAGGCCACCAAAAATTCTGAAATTTCCATCCCCAACTATAACATTTTCCGTCTAGATAGAACTGCCAAAGGGGGTGGAGTTGCAATCTACTGTAGAGATAGCCTGCAGAGCTCCATCATACTATCCAGGTCTGTGCCCAAACAGTTTGAGCTTCTACTTCTAAAAATCCACCTTTCCAGAAATAAATCTCTCACTGTTGCCGCTTGCTACAGACCCCCCTCAGCCCCCAGCTGTGCCCTGGACACCATATGTGAATTGATTGCCCCCCATCTATCCTCAGAGTTCGTACTGCTTGGTGACCTAAATTGGGATATGCTTAACACCCCGGCCATCCTACAATCTAAACTAGATGCCCTCAATCTCACACAAATTATCAACGAACCTACCAGGTACAACCCTAAATCCGTAAACATGGGTACCCTCATAGATATCATCCTGACTAACTTACCCTCTAAATACACCTCCGCTGTCTTCAACCAGGATCTCAGCGATCACTGCCTTATTGCCTGCGTCCGTAACGGGTCCGCGGTCAAACGACCACCCCTCATCACTGTCAAACGCTCCCACTTCAGCGAGCAGGCCTTCCTAATTGACCTGGCCCAGGTATCCTGGATGGATATAGATCTCATTCCGTCAGTAGAGGATGCCTGGTTGTTCTTTAAAAGTAATTTCCTCTCAATCTTAAATAGACATGCCCCATTCAAAAAATACAGAACTAAGAACAGATTTAGCCCCTGGTTCTCCTCAGACTTGACTGCCCTTGACCAGCACAAAAACATCCTGTGGCATACTGCATTAGCATCAAATAGCCCCCGCGATATGCAACTTTTCAGGGAAGTTAGGAACCAATATACACAAGCAGTTAGGAAAGCAAAGGCTAACTTTTTCAAACAGAAATTTGCATCCTGTAGCACTAACTCCAAAAAGTTTTGGGACACTGTAAAGTCCATGGAAAATAAGAGCACTTCCTCCCAGCTGCCCACTGCACTGAGGCTAGGAAACACTATCACCACCGATAAATCTACAATAATCGAGAATTTCAACAAGCATTTTGCTACGGCTGGCCATGCTTTCCACCTGGCTACCACTACCCCGGCCACCAGCTCTGCACCCTCCGCTGCAACTTGCCCATGCCCCCCCCCGCTTCTCCTTCACACAAATCCAGACAGCTGATGTTCTAAAAGAGCTGCAAAATCTGGACCCCTACAAATCATCTGGGCTAGACAATCTGGACCCTTTCTTTCTAAAACTAGCCGCCGAAATTGTCGCAACCCCTATTACTAGCCTGTTTAACCTCTCTTTCGTAACGTCTGAGATCCCCAGAGATTGGAAAGCTGCCGCGGTCATCCCCCTCTTCAAAGGGGGTGACACTCTCTAGAGTTTTTGGATCTATCCAAACTGTTACAGACCCATATCCATCCTGCCCTGCCTTTCAAAAGTTTTTGAAAGCCAAGTCAACAAACAGATCACCGACCATTTCGAATCCCACCGTACCTTCTCCGCTATGCAATCCGGTTTCCGAGCTGGTCATGGGTGCACTTCAGCCACGCTCAAGGTCCTAAACGATATTATAACCGCAATCGATAATAGACAGTACTGTGCAGCCGTTTTCATTGACCTGGCCAAGGCTTTTGACTCTGTCAACCACCGCATTCTTATTGGCAGACTAAATAGCCTTGGTTTCTCAAATGACTGCCTCGCCTGGTTCACCAACTACTTCTCAGATAGAGTTCAATGTGTCAAATCGGAGGGCCTGTTGTCTGGACCTATGGCAGTCTCTATGGGGGTGCCACAGGGTTCAATTCTTGGGCCGACTCTTTTCTCTGTGTATATCAATGACGTCGCTCTTGCTGCTGGTGACTCTCAGATCCACCTCTACGCAGACGACACCATTTTGTATACATCTGGCCCTTCATTGGACACTGTGTTAACAAACCTCCAAACGAGCTTCAATTCCATACAACACTCCTTCAGTAGACTCCAACTGCTCTTGAACACTAGTAAAACTAAATGCATGCTCTTCAACCGAACGCTGCTTGCACCCGCCCACCCGACTAGAATCACTACTCTCGACGGGTCTGACCTAGAGTATGTGGACAACTACAAATATCTAGGTGTCTGGTTAGACTGTAAACTCTCCTTCCAGACTCACATTAAGAATCTCCAATCCAAAGTTAAATCTAGAATCGGTTTCCTATTTCGCAACAAAGCCTCCTTCACTCATGCTGCGAAACATGCCCTCGTAAAACTGACTATCCTACCGATCCTTGACTTCGGCGATGTCATTTACAAAATAGCCTCCAACACTCTACTCAGCAAATTGGATGTAGTCTATCACAGTGCCATCCGTTTTGTCTCCAAAGCCCCATATAATACCCACCACTGTGACCTGTACGCTCTTGTTGGCTGGTCCTCACTACATATTCGTCGCCAAACCCACTGGCTCCAGGCCATCTATAAATCACTGCTAGGCAAATCCCCGCCTTATCTTAGCTCATTGGTCACCATAGCAACACCCACCCGTAGTCTGCGCTCCAGCGGGTATATCTCACTGGTCATCCCCAAAGCCAACACCTCCTTTGGCCGCAATTCCTTCCAGTTCTCTGCTGCCAATGACTGGAACAAATTGCAAAAATCTCTGAAGCTGGAGACTCTTATCTCCCTCACTAACTTTAAGCATCAGTTGTCAGAGCACCTTACCGATCACTGCACCTGTACACAGCCCATCTGAAATTAGCCCGCCCAACTACCTCATCCCTATATTGTTATTTATTTTGCTCATTTGTACCCCAGTATCTCTATTTGCACATCATCTCTTGCACATCTATCATTCCAGTGTTAATACTAATTGTAATTATTTTGCACTATAGCCTATTTTATTGCCTTACCTCCATAACTTGCTAAATTTGCACACACTGTATATTATATGTATTTCTGTTGTATTTTTGACTTTGTTTTGTTTTACCCCATATGTAACTCTGTGTTGTTGTTTTTATCGCACTGCTTTGCTTTATCTTGGCCAGGTCTCAGTTGTAAATGAGAACTTGTTCTCAACTGGTTTACCTGGTAAAATAAAGGTGAAATAAAAAAATTTTAAAAATAAAAAATTTAAATATCCTCTCCCTGGCTTTTTCATTTGTTGTCATGTCAAACAACACTAATTTCAAAGTGCCCACTATATTCTAACTTTTGGTTGAAGTTTCAATGAACAGTATAAAACAATTAGAATGGACAAAGCCCCATTAAAAACCCCTTTGAATGTATGTGTTGCCACCAATGATTTATATATACACCAGATGACTGAAAGGGGGCACTGTTTTGAAGCCACCGTGCCTCCATTGGCACTCCCCCACCATAGCAAAAATTATTTTGGAAGCTATAGAAATGCATTTACTAATGTCCACATTTGTTTTTCCATGTTTATTCTATTACAGACACATTAAAGCATACTTTTAAATTATATTATTCGAGCTAAACATAAAAAATATATAAATACATTTTCATTTACATTTAAGTAATTTAGCAGACGCTCTTATCCAGAGCGACTTACAAGAGCAATTAGGGTTAAGTGCCTTGCTCAAGGGCACATCGACAGATTTTTAACCTAGTCGGCTCGGGGATTAGAACCAGTGACCTTTCGGTTACTGGCACAGTGCTCTTAACCACTAAGCTACCTGCCGCCCCATACTTTAATTTTCCTTAAAGTATAATGTTTTAGAAAGTACTAAAGTTACGGTCACCACTACCACAAAGAAATACTTAAACATGTAATTTTGTCCTTGAAATACTGTAGAATTCCATTTATTGCTTTTCTGAGGAGTGCCAATATGGCCGACCGGTGGCTTCAAAGCCTCTCATTGGCAAATACATAGCATTAACAATCCAGGGTTTATATACATCATTGGTTGCCATCCTAGGGTCATGCAGTACTTAAAGCATATTTAAAACCTCTATAATTTAAAAAACACCAAATACCGTCAAATATATTCCAAAATGGGAACAATATCATAATATGATATTTTGGCCATATTGCCCAGCCCTAGTTCACCGAATTACAGTTTTACATCAATTTGCCACAAAATCCCTAGTTTGAAAGCGACTGTTTACTGGAAGCTGTGCAGCAGCCTTTTCCCTGCATTTTCCACCACGTGGGCCACCTCCCTAGCAATTTGAATTCCAGCCAATGAGCTTCAGCCCCACACCATTTGAGTGACAGCTAGCAAGATACACACACAGCAGAGTGAGAAAGAGAGCAATGACATGGTGCACATATCTGCCACTTTTGGCTCATGAGTGCTACTTTCAGAACTACTGACTGAAAAGTATACAAAAGTACCGGAGCATCTCTTTAAACAATGAGTTTAGAAAAACATGCAGTTAAAACGCTGAATAATTTATTAATTGTAGCTTCACTCCTAAAAACAGATGCCTCTGTTCATTCAAATGGTCAACCAAATCTGTCAACCACACACGGCCTAATTATCATAAGTGCAGGTTTTGTGAATAAACAACATGTGGTACATGTCACTATTGCTTGCTTGATATTCAATACAATAAAATCTTGACTCAATGTTACTGCTTCAAAGACTTCACAGCTCTTGTAGCATGCTGTCATCAGGATTCCAGTGACCATTAACTAAAACTATGTCCAGTATTTCCCCTGCTATGAGGAGTGGGGACAACTCCCATATATACAGTGCCTTCGGAAAGTATTCAGACCCCTTGACTTTCTGTTATGTTACAGCCTTATTCTAAAATGGATTATATAGTTTGTTTCCCCTCATCAATCTACACACAATACCCATTATTTTTATTTTAAAAAAAAAAAACGGAAATATCACATAAGTACTCAGTACTTTGAAGCACCTCTGGCAGTGATTACAGCCTCAAGTTTTCCTGGGTATGACACAACAAGCTTGGCACACCTGTATTTGGGGAGTTTCTCCTATTCTTCTCTGCGGATCCTCTCAAGCTCTGTCAGGTTGGATGGGGAGCGTTGTTGCACAGCTATTTTCAGGTCTCTCCAGAGATGTTTGATCGGGTTCAAGTCCGGGCTCTCGCTGGCCCACTCAAGGACATTCAGAGACTTCTCCCGAAGCCAATCCTGCGTTGTCTTGGCTGTGTGCTTACGGTCATTGTCCTGTTGGAAGGTGAACCTTCACCCCAGTCTGAGGTCCTGAGCGCTCTGGAGCAGGTTTTCATCAAGGATCTCTTTGCTCCGTTCATCTTTCCCTCAATCCTGCCTAGTCTCCCAGTCCCTGCTGCTGAAAAACATCCCCACAGCATGATTCTGCCACCACCATGCTTCACCTTAGGGATGGTGCAAGGTTTCCTCCAGATGTGCCGCTTGGCGTTCAGGCCAAAGAGTTCAATCTTGGTTTCATCAGACCAGAAATTCTTGTTTCTCATGGTCTGAGAGTCTTCAGGTGCCTTTTGGCAAACTCCAAGCAGGCTGTCATTTGCCTTTTACTGAGGAGTGGCCTCCGTCTGGCCACTCTATCATAAAGGCCTGATTGGTGGAGTGCTGCAAAGCTAGTGGTCCTTCTGGAAGGTTCTACCATCTCCACAGAGGAACTCTAGAGCTCTGTCAGAGTGACCATCGGGTTCTTGGTCACCTCGCTGATTAAGGCCCTTCTCCCCCGATTGCTCAGTTTGGCCGGGCGGTCAGCTCTAGGAAGAGTCTTGGTGATTCCAAACGTCCTCCATTTAAGTATGATGAGGCCACTGTTTATTTACAGGTAGCGGCTGTTTCCTCATTCATTGCCTGGCTATGGATGTGAGGAGAGGACAATGGAGAGAGGGGAGAGGTAGATGCAACAGAGAGGCCGTGGATTTGAAAGGCGGATTAATGAGCTATGTATTGTGTTTGTGCGTGTGGGTGTGTTCTTGGGGATCTTCAATGCTGCTTCCCTAGATCTGTGCCTCGACATAATCCTGTCTCGGAGCTCTACTGACAATTCCTTTGACCTCATGGCTTGGTTTTTGTTCTGGCATGCACTGTCAACTGTGGGACCTTATATAGACAGGTGTGTGGCTTTCCAAATCAATTTACCACAGTTGGACTCCAATCAAGTTGTAGAAACATCTCAAGGATGATCAATGGAAACAGGATGCACCTGAGCTCAATTTCGAGTCTCATAGCAAAGGGTCTGAATACTTATGTAAATAAGGTATTTCTGTTGTTTATGTTTAATAAATTAGCACACATTTCTAAAAACCTGTTCTCGCTTTGTCATTATGGGGTATTGTATGTTGTTTTTATTTAATCCAGTTTAGAATAAGGCTGTAATTTAACAAAATGTTGAAAAAGTCAAGGGGTCTGAATTCTTTCCGAAGGCACTGTAGCTTGCTCTGCTTCCTCTGTCTATGGAGAGGTAGCTACCTCTGTCTATGTAGAGGTAGGCTTTGCATCCTCAATTAGTTTGGTTTTGCCAGCCTTGATCATGCATAAAGTGATGGGGGTAGCTAAGAATAATAAGAACAGGAGGGAACATACCACTACCGATGTCAAGACATGGACCATCCTCATGTTTGCATATACACCATTGAAGACAACCTGAAAGACAAAAAAAGATTGATCATGCAATTCAAACCTGAGAGCCCAGGACAAAATAACGCCAAAGAAAAAGTCTGCACTTATTGTGGACAAAGAAGCCTGTGACAAACCAAGCAACTGTGTACCAGTGTGCTGTTTTTTTTTCTCTCAAAGAAAGAAACCAATAGTAAATAAGATGATAGCCTAGAATGTGAAATCGAACAATATCTGCCAACTTCACCTGCCCAATTCAAATAATGGGATAGAAAAATGTAATCATAACTTACTGCTGCCGAAGTACCTTTGGCACTATGCCGTCCCCTGAATAAAGACCAAAAAAAGATTTGTTAATATCATCGTCATTAGGGCAAGTTTCACTGTGCAGTGGTTACTTGACTTTCCTACACACAATAATTTCCTTCTGGATTAGGAAATGTGTGACTTTAATTACTTTCATGCTAGAACACCAATCCCCCCCCCGGCTTATATGATCAGAGAGTCAGTGTTTATTATATGCATGGGTCAGGACCCAAAACACAAGCAACGCTGGGACATACTGTAGTCCTGACAATAGTTTACTATCAAAATAGACTTAAATGCTGCTGAAAGACAGTCCATCGGGTTAACAGTAGTTCTTACACAAATGTCATCTTTCAAGGGCACAATTTTACACAAGCAGCAGCGCCAACGCCAAGGTTGAAAGCCCGTTGTCGGTCTTAATTGAAAGGAAAAACCAAAAACCCGCAGACACTCGGCCCTCCGTGGGACAGGATTGACACCCCTGTGTTAGAGGTTCGTTAATGAATAGCCTTGCAAGGAATTTTTCAACTGTTATTGCTGATACTTTCTTCATTCCCGATTCGGTGACCAGTTGCAGTTGGTTCTACAAAATCAAGTAAAAACTCAGAAAGACATTAAATCCAAGTTTTGCACAGAGTGAGGAGTTTCCTCACCATTTTAGCTGCCAGACCTCTTGCATTTCCCAACATCTTTGCAGGAACTAGTCATTTCTAGGTGATGCGGCCACGTCAAAGACGATACAGCAGGGTTCCCCAACTGGCGGCTCGCGGGCCACATTTTATTAGTTTTCTGAGCAAAAAAAAAAGTTTTCTTTCTTGTTGGACATAAGAGTGTAAAAACACCAGCAAATCAGCTCGAAGTGATAAGAATTTTGGAAATCTGTTCAAACGTATTCCCATGCATAGAGACATACAGTGGGGGAAAAAAGTGTTTAGTCAGCCACCAATTGTGCAAGTTCTCCCACTTAAAAAGATGAGAGAGGCCTGTAATTTCCATCATAGGTACACGACAACTATGACAGACAAAATGAGAAAAAAAATCCAGAAAATCACATTGTAGGATTTTTAATGAATTTATTTGCAAATTATGGTGGAAAATAAGTATTTGGTCAATAACAAAAGTTTCTCAATACTTTGTTGTATACCCTTTGTTGGCAATGACACAGGTCAAACGTTTTCTGTAAGTCTTCACAAGGTTTTCACACACTGTTGCTGGTATTTTGGCCCATTCCTCCATGCAGATCTCCTCTAGAGCAGTGATGTTTTGGGGCTGTCGCTGGGCAACACAGACTTTCAACTCCCTCCAAAGATTTTCTATGGGGTTGAGATCTGGAGACTGGCTAGGCCACTCCAGGACCTTGAAATGCTTCTTACGAAGCCACTCCTTCGTTGGCCGGGCGGTGTGTTTGGGATCATTGTCATGCTGAAAGACCCAGCCACGTTTCATCTTCAATGCCCTTGCTGATGGAAGGAGGTTTTCACTCAAAATCTCACGATACATGGCCCCATTCATTCTTTCCTTTACACGGATCAGTCGTCCTGGTCCCTTTGCAGAAAAACAGCCCCAAAGCATGATTTCCCACCCCCATGCTTCACAGTAGGTATGGTGTTCTTTGGATGCAACTCAGCATTCTTTGTCCTCCAAACACGACGAGTTGAGTTTTTACCAAAAAGTTCTATTTTGGTTTCATCTGACCATATGACATTCTCCCAATCCTCTTCTGGATCATCCAAATGCACTCTAGCAAACTTCAGACGGGCCTGGACATGTACTGGCTTAAGCAGGGGGACACGTCTGGCACTGCAGGATTTGAGTCCCTGGCGGCGTAGTGTGTTACTGATGGTAGGCTTTGTTACTTTGGTCCCAGCTCTCTGCAGGTCATTCACTAGGTCCCCCCGTGTGGTTCTTGGATTTTTGCTCACCATTCTTGTGATCATTTTGACCCCACGGGGTGAGATCTTGCGTGGAGCCCCAGATCGAGGGAGATTATCAGTGGTCTTGTATGTCTTCCATTTCCTAATAATTGCTCCCACAGTTGATTTCTTCAAACCAAGCTGCTTACCTATTGCAGATTCAGTCTTCCCAGCCTGGTGCAGGTCTACAATTATGTTTCTGGTGTCCTTTGACAGCTCTTTGGTCTTGGCCATAGTGGAGTTTGGAGTGTGACTGTTTGAGGTTGTGGACAGGTGTCTTTTATACTGATAACAAGTTCAAACAGGTGCCATTAATACAGGTAACGAGTGGAGGACAGAGGAGCCTCTTAAAGAAGAAGTTACAGGTCTGTGAGAGCCAGAAATCTTGCTTGTTTGTAGGTGACCAAATACTTATTTTCCACCATAATTTGCAAATAAATTCATTACAAATCCTACTATGTGATTTTCTGGACTTTTTTTCCTCAATTTGTCTGTCATAGTTGACGTGTACCTATGATGAAAATTACAGGCCTCTCTCATCTTTTTAAGTGGGAGAACTTGCACAATTGGTGGCTGACTAAATACTTTTTTTCCCCCACTGTATGTCATCGTATACAAATGTAAGCAAGGTTTGAAATTATTGTTTTAGTCAAATATTATCAGTTTGGGTTTCTTGCGTTCAATTTGCAGTCTACAAATTATTTGTAATTATGTTCCGGCCCCCTGACCATCCTCTCAAGAAAAAAAAAGACGTAAAAAAATAAAACAAAATAAGAATCAGCCAGCAGCTGAATCTAGTTGATGATCCCTGCAGTACACTATGAAGACATGAAGAAACTGCTTCTTCAATAGAAATCCCCGATCACGCTTGTAGGCGATGTCATGGCGACTTCAGCTAGCATAGCGCATGAGCAAAAACACATCAACGGGTCTAGCAGTCATTTCACGCCGAACTGCGCATGTGCAGGCCGTCAAACGAAAGGTACTCTTTCAATATAAAGTAGTTTGACAAAAAATGAAAACGTGTTTGTCACTTTCACGAGGTTGTAGTAATGACAGGTTCAGCTACTTAAGACATTAGCTCGAATCAAGGTATTGCCTTTTGAATTAGAGAAAATATGAACTCGAGACAAACCCCGGTCTGGTCTGTCGAGTCTGCTTCTCGTGACACGTTCCCGAAGTATTGCGATGTTGTGACAAAAATGGTGGATAAATTAAGATAGTTCACTCAGGCCGTTTACCATTGGTCAGTTGCTGTCTGCTTAACGGTGTGGCTATCCCATAGATGGGTTAGCTGACAACATCATGAAAATGATGCGCACCGGTCAATGGGGCAGAAGTCCATGAGTTGTTGAGATTCTGGATGGCCAGATAACTACCAACATTGACAAGAAACTACCACGTGGAAAGCAGCTAGATCTGGTCTACTTAGTTTAGTGACTTCAATTAGTCGAGTGTCTCACTTCCTCTTTCGTCTCTGGTTGAGCCTCTGGGTTTGAAAACTGTGGCCACTTGTAGAAGTAGATGACAGCACGTCACACAGTGCAACCAAATCAAATATCTACCCACGTGCAAGAGGCATTTCACACTCTGTACAAAACATGGATTTAATATCTTTGAGTTTTTGTTGAACCACATGCAACTGGACAGGGACATTCCGAAGATACGTTTTTCACCGAATTGAGAAAAAAGGCATCGCCAACAACAGGTTAGTTGAAAAATCTATGGCAGCGTATGTATAGAGCTTTCTTGTAACACCCAGTATGGAAACATACACTGAACAAAAATAGAAATGCAACAATTTTACAGAGTTACAGTTCATATTAGGAAATCAGTCAATTGAAATAAATATATTAGGCCCTAATCTATGGATTTCACATGACTGGGCAAGGGCCCACCCACTTGGGAGCCAGGCCCAGCCAATCAGATTGAGTTTTTCCCCCACAAAAGGGCTTTATTACAGACAGAAATACTCCTCAGTTTAATCAGCTGTCCGGGTGGCTGGTCTCAGATGATCCCACAGGTGAAGAAGCCGGAAGTGGAGGTCCTGGGCTGGCATATTACACGTGGTCTGCAGTTGTGAGGCTGTTTGGATGTACTGCTAAATTCTCTAAAACAACATTGGAGGTGGCTTATGGTAGAGAAAATCATTCAATTCTCTGACAACAGCTCTGGTGGACAAACTTGAGACATCTATGGCATTGTGTACAGTCGTGGTCAAAAGTTATGAGAATTACATAAATATTAATTTTCACAAAGTCTGCTGCCTCAGTTTTTATGATGGCAATTTGCATATACTCCAGAATGTTATGAAGAGTGCTCAGATTAATCGCAATTAATTGCAAAGTCCCTCTTTGCCATGAAAATGAACTTAATTCCAAAAAAAACATTTCCACTGCATTTCAGCCCTGCCACAAAAGGACCAGCTGACATCATGTCAGTGATTCTCTCGTTAACACAGGTGAGAGTGTTGACGAGGACAAGGCTGGAGATCACTCTGTCATGCTGATTGAGTTAGAATAACAGACTGGAAGCTTTAAAAGGAGGGTGGTGCTTGAAATCATTGTTCTTCCTCTGTTAACCATGGTTACCTGCAAGGAAACACGTGCCGTCATCATTGCTTTGCACAAAAAGGTCTTCACAGGCAAGGATATTGTTGCTAGTGAGATTGCGCCTAAATCAACCATTTATCGGATCATCAACAACTTCAAGGAGAGAGGTTCAATTGTTGTGAAGAAGGCTTCAGGGCGCCCAAGAAAGTCCAGCAAGCGCCAGGACCGTCTCCTAAAGTTTATTAACCTGCGGAATCGGGGCACCACCAGTGCAGAGCTTGCTCAGGAATGGCAGCAGGCAGGTGTGAGTGCATCTGCACGCACAGTGAGGTGAAGACTTTTGGAGGATGGCCTGGTGTCAAGAAGGGCAGCAAAGAAGCCACTTCTCTCCAGGAAAAACATCAGGGACAGACTGATATTCTGCAAAAGGTAAAGGGATTGGACTGCTGAGGACTGTGGTAAAGTCATTTTCTCTGATGAATCCCCTTTCCGATTGTTTGGGGCATCTGGAAAACACCTTGTCCGGAGAAGACAAGGTGAGCGCTACCATCAGTCCTGTGTCATGCCAACAGTAAAGCATCCTAAGACCATTCATGTGTTGGGTTGCTTCTCAGCCAAGGGAGTGGGCTTACTCACAATTTTGCCTAAGAACACAGTCATGAATAAAGAATGGTACCAACACATTCTCCGAGAGTGACTTCTCCCAACCATCCAAGAACAGTTTGGTAACGAACAATGCCTTTTCCAGCATGATGGAGCACCTTGCCATAAGGCAAAATTGATAACTAAGTGGCTCGGGGAACAAAACATTGAAATTTTGAGTCCATGGCCAGGAAACTCCCCAGACCTTAATCCCATTGAGAATGTATGGTCAATCCTCAAGAGGCAGGTGGACAAACAAAAACCCACAAACTCCAAGCATTGATTATGCAAGAATGGGCTGCCATCAGTCAGGATGTGGCCCAGAAGTTAATTGACATCACGCCAGGGCGGATTGCAGGGGTCTTGAAAAAGAAGGGTCAACACTGCAAATATTGACTCTTTGCATAAACTTAATGTAATTGTCAATAAAAGCCTTTGACACTTATGGAATGCTTGTAATTATACTTCAGTATGCCATTGTAACATCTGACAAAAATATATAAAAACACTGAAGCAGCAAACTTTATGAAGACCAATACTTGTGTCATTCTCAAAACTTTTGACCACGACTGTAGTGTGACAAAATTGCACATTTTATTGGCCTTTTATTGTCCCCAGCACAAGATGCACCTGTGTAATGATCATGCTGTTTAATCAGCTTCTTAATCAGCCACACCTGTCAGGTGGATGGATTATCTTGGCAAAGGAGATATGCTCACTAACAGGGATGTAAACTAATTTGTGCACAGATGGAACATTTCTGGGACCCTACACGTTGCATATTATATTTTTGTTCAGTATAATTATCACATTGCTGATTCTGTTGCAAAACGTTTCACAACAAACTTTACTCCAAACGGAAACTCAAGAGTTTATTGGACAAAATCAGGTAGGTCCCTCTGTTTCGTTTGCTCCTTTTGCTTCTGCTTGGTTCTTAAATGGTAAACGGTTTCTAATGAATACACCCCTGGCTTACAAATTGGTAGCTAGACACAGCCCACCTTTTACTATGCTGACTTATCCAATAATACCAGTTGGTGCTGATTCAATGGCATGAATGAATGGTAGTTGGCTAACAAAGTAGCCTAATTCTAGTGAAGAAGCTAGTTATGTAGTATACTAGTTATGTAGTTTGATTCCTAGATGTATATGCATTCTCTTGTCGTGACAGGGTGATCATGTGAAGCAATTGACACGACACAAACCAGTAACCACTACTAGTTAAGTTAATGTTCTCAATACTAGTTAACTACTAAAACAGATGGAGTTACCAAAATAAAACTAAGTACCGCAATACTGCCAGTGCTGGGACCTTGTGTACCAGCATGATTCGTAGGCCTAACTTGCTAGTTAGCTGGCTAAAAACTTGCCCACCAACGACGTAGTAAGCAGTCAGGCCCCACTGAAATGTGCATTCACATAACACACGTTTAGAAGTTATCGCGGAAATGTCAGCTGCTGTAATTAAGATCATAATTAGCTTGGGCTAATTTCAAAACGTTGGCATCAATCATATTTGTTAACTAAAATGTCGACTGAATAAATCACCGACCTGCCCAAATTCTGTCGTCCGCCACTTCCCCCGGCACCAGCGGCAGCACCACCGCCGGGTTTGCGATTACCACCGGCCTGCTTCATTGACATTATCCCATAAACGACAACGTTAGCGGTGTATTCTTAAGATCTCAAACACTATACACTGCAACCAAATGATGAAAAGATACTAATAGGCTAAGTTTTAGCGACCTAGATAGATTTGAGACAGCTAACGTCAGCTTGCTAGTTTAGCTACTAGCGTATGTGATTCAAAACCTTAGAACCTTGCTAGCTATTAGCTTACCTAGCAAATAGCAGGCTAGCTAACGTTCTGTGTAATGCCTATTAAAACAGAAGTTAGCTACCCTCTTTTAAAAAAAATACAATATGCTCCGATTACACTTAAGTAATACATGTGTGAATTAAACCTCCGGTCAATTTGTTTTTCGATTCGCTCTAACGGGATTTTAAGGTATCTCGGACTCTCTCTTCGATAATAGCGAAAGGAGCAGGTATAACATACGCCGGCTTCTTCTTCGAGGTTTATTGGCAGACTACACTCATAAAGTGTATTGCCGCCACCTACTGTACGGGGTAGTAAAATTTCCCCAAAAACAAAAGATGTCATACACCTAATTTCCTGTCACAACCTGTTAAGCCAAACACGACGTGAGCTATCTGCTTGCGCATGTCCAACAAATAAACCCATTTGTCATATGCTTCTTCGTCTTCTTCTTTGGGTGTTATGGCAGACTACAGGCAAAAGTTGTATTGCCGCCACCAACTGGACGGTTTGAAACCATAAAATAAATCCATACCTAATAGTGATACTAACTTACTCCACCCTAATAAAAATAGTACATTGCCAAAACAAACGACTCCCATTTCTTCCTTCTTTTAGTTCTCCATATCTTCCTTCTCAGGCTCTAGGACCTGAGAGTGAGATACGGCTTTTGCCAATATTCCATGTAACAAAAGAAAATCCATACATACTAGGGAAACTAACTAAATCCACCCAAATAAAATAGTACACTGACAAAACTCCCATTTCTTACTTCTTTTAAATATCCATATCTCCCTTCTCAATCTATTGGGCCTGAGATGGTGGTACGGCTTTTGACAATATTCCATGTAACTCCTTTGCTTAGAAATCTTTCAGCCCCAGGAACCGTTCTGCCGCAACCACAATGATGTCTATCTTGCTAGATCTTTTCTCCACCTTGGCAGTGCCATTAATCACCATTGCGTTAAAGGCCACAAAGTCCACCTTTTTTAACAATTAAAATGTCAGGATAATCTTGGTGAAAGGCAACCCCTGCAGCTTGCGTTGAAGGCCTATCCACCACCATGGACTCTTCAGGAGCACCATTCAAACCCTCAACCCTTTTAACCGCTGCTGCATAGGAAATGCTCTGTACAACCCTAACTTCGTCTCGGGCCTAACAACACCCGTGCCAATATATCCTCCAAACACTAGCTTCTAGGGCATTATCACTTAAGTAGAAGCACTTTTGGCAGCGATTACGGCTGTGAGTCTGTCTTAGGTAAGACGCTAAGAGCTTTCCACACCTGGATTGTGCAACATTTGCCCATTATTCTTTTCAGAATTATTCAAGCTCTATCAAATTGGTTGTTGATCATTGCTAGACAACCATTTTCTGGTCTTGCCATAGATTTTCAAGTAAATTTAAGTTAAAACTGTAACTGCCACACAGGAACATTCATTGTCTTCTTCATAAGCAACTCCAGTATAGATTTGGCCTTGTGTTTTAGGTTATTGTCCTGCTGAAAGGTGAACTAATCTCCCAGTGTCTTGTGGAAAGCAGCCTCAACCAGGTTTTCCTCTAGGATTCTGCCTGTGCTTAAGCTCCATTCCGTTTTCTTTTTTATCCTGAAAACCTCCCCAGTCCTTAACGATAACAAACATACCCATAACATGATGCAGCCACCACTATGCTTGAAATTATGGAGAGTGGTACTTGATAATGTGTTGTATTAGATTTGTCCCAAACATAACACTTTGTATTCAGGACAAAAAGTGAATTGCTTTTCCACATTTCTTGCAGTACTACTTTAGTGCCTTGTTGCAAACAGAATGCATGTATTGGAATATTTTTAACTGTCAATTAGGTTAGAATTGTGGAGGAAATAGAATGTCGTTGATTCATCCTCAGTTTTCTCCTATCACAGCCATTCAACTCTGTAACTGTTGTCGTGGCGTGACTTTCATTATTGTGATGACTTATTTATCGAAATAATTACCTACTATGTTTAATTGTTACTAGATTAAATTAATCATGTAACAATTAACTCATTAGGAATTTGGGGCACCACAGGAAAAGTTGTTTAACGAGTTACCGTTTCCCGAATTAACTCTAAAGATATCTAATAATATATAATAATAATAATCTAGATACAGTTGAAGTCTGAAGTTTACATACACTTAGGTTGGAGTCATTAAAACTAGTTTTTCAACCACTCCACACATTTCTTGTTAACAAACTATAGTTTTGGCAAGTCTGTTAGGACATCTACTTTGCATGACACAAGTAATTTTTCCAACAATTGTTTAAAGACAGATTATTTCACTTATAATACACTATCACAATTCCAGTGGGTCAGAAGTTTACATACACTAAGTTGACTGTGCCTTTAAACAGCTTGGAAAATTCCAGGAAATGATGTCATGGCTTTAGAAGCTTCTGGTAGGCTAATTGACATCATTTGAGTCAATTGGAGGTATACCTGTGGATGTATTTCAAGGCCTACCTTCAAACTCAGTGCCTCTTTGCTTGACATCATGGGAAAATCAAAAGAAATCAGCCAAGACCTCAGAAAAAAATGTGTAGACCTCCACAAGTCTGGTTCATTCTTGGGAGCAATTTCCAAATGCCTGAAGGTACCACATTCATCTGTACAAACAATAGTACGCAAGTATAAACATCATGGGACCACGCAGCCGTCATACCACTCAGGGAGGAGATGCGTTCTGTCTCCTAGAGATGAACGTACTTTGGTGCATGCAAAAAGTGCAAATCAATCCCAGAACAACAGCAAAGGACCTTGTGAAGATGCTGGAGGAAACGGGTACAAAAGTATCTATATCCACAGTAAAACAAGTCCTATATCGACATAACCTGAAAGGCCGCTCAGCAAGGAAGAAGCCACTGCTCCAAAACCGCCATAAAAAAGCCAGACTATGGTTTGCAACTGCACATGGGGACAAAGATCGTACTTTTAGGAGTGTCCTATGGTCTGATGAAACATAAATAGAACTGTTTGGCCATGTGGTGTCGAGACAACGATGCCGATATGCTGTGCTGATAAGAAATCCGCTGACACTGTACTTTGATTATAAAGGTTTATTATATCAAAAGATTTCAGCGTCAATTTACAGATTTCTGCAGAATCTGGAGAACAACTAACCCAATCTCAAATATGATTATTCTCCCCATCCTTTGTTGAAAACCTGATATATATATATATCCTATGTAACATAAGATGGGTGTTTTGAATAGACCAATCCCTGGCTTCCACATATCCAAGTCTCCTCTGTTTCAGGGGGCCCCTATAGTAATGCTTTCCAGATGTTTCAGCAAGGCAGAGTAAAATTCATCTAACACACCATTTGCAAACGTCAGCCAAAATTATAAACTGTTCAGATACTACAGCCATAATGGCCATCGTTATGTTTGGAGGAAAAAGGGGGTCTCTTGCAAGCCGAAGAACACCATCCCAACCGTGAAGCACGGGGGTTGCAGCATCATGCTGTGAGGGTGCTTTGCTGCAGGAGGGACTGGTGCACTTCACAAAATAGATGGCATCATGAGGAAGGAAAATTATGTGGATATATTGAAGCAACATCTCAAGACATCAGTCAGGAAGTTAAAGCTTGGTCGCAAATGGGTCTTCCAAATGAGCAATGACCCCAAGCATACTTCCAAAGTTGTGGCAAAATGGCTTAAGGACAACAAAGTCAAGGTATTGGAGTGGCCATCACAAAGCCCTGACCTCAATCCTATAGAAAATTTGTGGGCAGAACTGAAAAAGCGTGTGCGAGCAAGGAGGCCTACAAACCTGACTCAGTTACACCAGCTCTGTCAGGAGGAATGGGCCACAATTCACCCAGCTTGTGGAAGGCTACCTGAAACGTTTGACACAAGTTAAACAATTTAAAGTCAATGCTACCAAATACTAATTGAGTGTATGTAAACTTCTGACCCACTGGGAATGTGATGAAAGAAATAAAAGCTGAAATAAATCATTCTCTCTACCATTATTCTGACATTTCACATTCTTAAAATAAAGTGGTGATCCTAACTAACCTAAGACAGGGAATCTTTACTAGGATTAAATGTCAGGAATTGTGAAAAACTGAGTTTAAATGTATTTGGCTAAGGTGTATGTAAACTTCCGACTTCAACTGTATCTCTTATCATTTAAGTAATTTATTAATCATTTACCTCATATCAGTCTCATTCTGAAAGTTGTAGGCTCTTTAAGTCTGCACGAACCCGGGTCTTACTGATCATTCCATACCACACAAATGTATTTAATTATTTATTTACTAACTAATTAAAAATGATAACACAAGATACAAACACATACATGGTATAGGTAGGGATTAGAAACTTTATACAATGAAAATGGGTCCCTAGCTGACTAACACAATATGACACTTGTTACAAAAGATGGCGAATTAAAGAGTGAGAGAGAACACTTTGCCCGGAACTGCCGCCCATTTGGGAAGAAAAGCAATACATGTATTTACGTGTTGGAGGTCTTCGTCGTGTATCTCTGTTGGACCCAGGCCTTCGTGGGAAGGGGTCGATTGGGCCTTCTCTTTCGAATGCCCTTTTAGATGTAAGGCTCAGATTGTCCACAAGGTCACAATGTCCTTCTTCTTAGTTGTCTGTTTACTTTCACTCGTTCTGGAAGTGGTCTTCTGAGGACAGCTAATCAGCCGTGTCAATGATCCCCTGTGGGGTGATGAGAGCAGTGTAGTAGACGATGATTTGAAGAGAGTAACAGGATGGTCCCACTTAAATTCACCTTCTTAGATACAGTACTTAGAACAGCTACTCAGCCGTAACATTGATTGTTTTTTTTTTTGTTTTTTTGTTTTTTTTGGGGGGATGGATCAGCTTAATATTGCAGATAGATTGTATCTTCTATCAATGTAATTGTCTGCATCACTTCCAATCCCCCATGTTTTTTTTTATTTTTTATATATATATATTCCCCTTTATTACTTTTCAACCCCACCATCCTTTCCCTACTTGGAGTAAATTAGTGAACAACAACGCCCAGGCCTCTACTTCCGGTCTATACTTACTATCTACACCTTATGGACAGAGTTAATTTTACAATAATTCTATATCTATATATATATATATATATATATATATATATATATATATATATATATATATATATATATATATATATATATATATCTATATATATACTATATATCTATATATATATATATATATATATATATATATATATATATATATATATACATACATATACACATACATATCTATTTATTTTTTTGCTCCTGAACTTCTTCTACTCTCAACCTCTCCGATCATTTTCATGATGTCCATCCGGTTTGCTTCTAAATGCCATATCTTTCTAACTGTGCTCTTTCCCAAAAGCTCCCAACATACAACCTATATACTTATTATGGACACAGTATGCTTACATTATTAGCTAT